AAGTGAAGCAGATGTGTAATCAGAAAAACATTCAACAACCAATGTTCCTGCACTGTATTATTCACCAGCAAGCTTTGTGTGCTAAATATATGGACATTAGCTGTGTACTGAATCATGTGGTGAAGATAGCGAATTTAATAAGGTCACATGGGCTCAACCATAGACAGTTCAGAGACATGTTGAAAGAAACAGACACAATATCGCAAGATTTACCATTTTACACAGCAATAAGATGGCTAAGTTGTGAGAAAGTTCTTAGCAGAGTATTTAAGTTAAGAAAGGAAATAGGTTACTTCCTGAAAAGTAAAGGCAAGCCACAGCCATTATTGTCTGATGAAGAGTGGGTATGGAAATTGTCCTTTGCTGCAGACATAACTAGTCATTTAAATTTTCTGAACCTAAAATTACAAGGGGAAAAAAATGTAGTTTCTGATTTATACACCCACATAAAGGCTTTCAGATCTAAACTTGTCTTGTTTTTGGAACACGTACAGGCCAACAACTTGACGCACTTTCAGCAGTGCAATGACTTCATGGCTGAAGCAACAGCTAAATTCCCCACGTCATTTGCATGCAAGATCATCAAAGACCTCCAGCTGCAGTTTCAGCAGCGGTTTTCTGATTTAGATTCAAAGGCAGAAGAAGTGAGACTTTTTCAAAACCCTTTTGAGGCAGATGTGGCCAGGTGCCCAGATGAACTGCAGATGGAAATCATTGAATTGCAAGCAAATGACCTCCTTAAGGACAAGTTTAAAGAAGGACTGGCTGCTTTTTACAAGTTTTTACCCAAGGAAGACTTTCCTAATGTCAAAAATTTTGCATCCAGGTACCTTTCTATCTTTGGAACAACGTACCTGTGTGAACAAACATTTTCAAGAATGAAATACGTGAAGAACAATTTGAGAACACACTTGTCCGATGGTAACCTCAGGTCACTGTTGATGTTGGGAACTTCAAATATGAAGCCTGAAATGTCTGCTATTCTGGCATCCAGGAAACAGTTTCACCGTTCTCACTAATACAGGTTTCCATGTGTAGTTTATCAATGTATTATTACACCGTTACTGAATAAATAATATTTAATTAATAATAAAAAACGTAGCGAGGGGGGGGGGGGGGGACATATGCCCCCTAAAGTCGGCGCCAAAATGGGTTGGAAAAATAAATTGAAGGGTTGAGGGGGGTGAAAATCGAAAGTTTGAGTGGGGTGGGGTGCAAATCGAAATCTCGAGGGGGGGGGGTGCAAATCGAAAGTTTGAGGGGGGGGGGGTGCAAATCGAAAAGTTTGTCCCCGGGCGCCGGGAAGGGTCGCTACGCCTCTGAAAAACATCCATGTTTTGATTTCTTTTTTTTTGGACCTCGACTGTGTTCTCGGCCCCCGAACTGCTATCCGATAGTCAATGCGGCCCTCTGGCTGAAAAGTTTGGAGACCCCTGGTCTAACATATACTTAGACATGAATGCGAAAAATGTATCATTGTGTACAATAGTGTATAAAGAAAAATGCCATATCTTATATATTGTGACACACGAAAAAAAAAACGGTTACTGGCCTACATAGGTCTTATCACAAACATTTGATTTGATCACGTCACGGTTTTTAAAGTCTGGTTAAATCTGGCATCAGCAAATAACTGCTTGCAACATATCTAAATGGCTTAGTTCCAAGTGGACTTGTTCAACAAGGTTATCGAGTTCTCAAGAAATTAACATTTAAATATAGAGGCTTAGGCTGACGTTAGTTGCTATCAATGTGTACTAAAACCTGTTCATGGATAAATATAATAGGCAGTGTTTCTTCCGGGTGTGGGGAAATTGCAAGACGCGAAAAACGAAATGGCGAGGCGGGAAAATGCGAAAAGGGCGCGAAAACGGTCGGTCACGTGACTTTTTGTCTCGCATTTTACCACAACTTACGCTGGGTAGTGTTGAAATGCGAAGATTTCTGCGAAAAAAATTTACCGCACCCGATTTTCAGCGGTATTTGGTCCAGACTTCAAAGACGTTTTGTTTACATTGTTAAAACTTCCTATTTTTCCGTCGCTAGACATACTGATAATTTGTCAACACCCCCATATTTTGTGTCGACTTAGAATACCACCTTGTTCGAAACCGACGGAAATACCGCCGACGATAGATCAACTTCTGTCTTTTGTGTGGAACGCCGAGGCCGCCTGATTTACCGTCTTTGAAGATCACCGTGCCCGGATCCGCTGCCGCCGCAAACATATTTTCTATTGTTGCATAGAAATTGTGCATTATAGCCGCCGCCTACGATTTTTTTTCTAGCTTTTTTTACCATATAAATATAAGCACAAGGTTGGATGTACTAGGTGTGAAAGATGGTGTCACGAGGTGTGTTTGAGTAGTACTAGGACTGTTTCAGAATATTTTATTTGTAAATTTTGTTTGTAATTAAAATTACTTAATAAAAAAATTGCACTTTTTAGAATTGTTTATACTTTTACACTTTTTGCAAGTACAAAAATCCATAAATACATGTCGCAGAATATCTCTCCTGCTTACAAGATTATACCAATCCACAATGACACAGCTCACGTTTGTTTAAACATGAGCGGGCTAGATTTTTAAATTAATGCCGACTGAGATTTTCCTCTCGCTAACGAGAGCGGGCGATGACAGTAGCACAGCAACGATGTTAGGATTTTTAAATAGATAGATCTAGATATAGATCTATCTATCTTCTTAGTATCTATCAATCTATATAATAAAATCTAGATAAAAAATAACATACAACACTCGTGTTAAAGGGTAGGCTTGTTTATTTAAAAAAAAAAAAAAAAAAATAATTAAAATAAATAAAGATGAAAAAAACTTTTTTTTTCGCAAAAAGTGTCTCGCTATTTACCCTTAATTCCGCAGTTATGTCTCGCATTATCTTCTCGCATTTTCCCGCTTCGCCATTTCGCTTTTCGCGTCTCGCAATCTCCCAACACCCGTTTCTTCCAGATTTTTTTCTTCGAGTAAAAGTATATGTTTTCTATATAAATTCCATTCGTTCGAGGGGGGGGGGGCGGTAGACTTTCTTCCGGGTAGGGGGGCCCCGAGGAGATGCCTGGAACAAACCTCTGATAATAGGTAGTAGGGGGAGGTTAAGAGTGATACCAATAAAAAAAAGCTTTAATTTTTACAAGAGAAATCGTTTTTAGCGGGAGGCGGGAATGAGGTTCACTCCACATTCAAATTTCTCTGAAATGTTTTGTTCAAGTTTGAAATTGAAACCAACTGGCTTAAAAATAGGTCAGATAAAGGGAGTTCGTGGAACAGGTCTTGATCTACGTACTAGTGGACCAGAAAAAACTTTTTATTTGGTGACTTTTAAATTTATTTCTTACTTAGCCAATATTTTCAGGGATCTCACATTTTGAAATAAATCCATGTATTTTATTTGAAGGATTCTGCTGAACTGTTTGATTTTAAAAATTTTCTTTAAGGCCCCTAGCTGTTGTCGGCAGCTAGGGGCCTAACAAGACTTATGTGTCCAGTACTTAATGTAATGAAAATGCCACCCTGCTACCCCCAGGAAATTAGGACCATGTAGAAGTCAAGACATTTATTTTCTAATATTTTGCATTTGATTTTCTGGTTGAAGAAATGGTTAAATATGTATAAATATCGTGTTAGATACCTAAAAAACAAACACTTGTACCCGTTATAAATGTTCAGTGATGTCAAATTCTGAGAAGATCTCTTGATAAACCTAAATTTTGGAATTCTTAATTTTTTCCCCTTATTTTATTTTCTATTTAAATCGTAATGAATTATTAGGAGCATTAATAATGTGATGAAAATTTAAATACATTAAAAATAGAAAGATAGCTGTTTGTCTTAATCGGAGTTTAGCCAGTTTTTTCTTTGGGACATGATCGACAAACATTCTTAAAAGCAACACCTTAGTACAGCTAAAGTGAAAATAAGCTTTCTGCAGGACAAGTAAGACCACTATACTGAAACACACAAACGTTTCTTTAAAGCACTCAGCTTTGCACTCACTTCCCACCCCAATTGTTTTTATCCTAAAATACTTAATGAGTTAATTGGGTCAAACAGAGGGAATCTAGAATGATCCATTTTTATACCAATTGACGAAAAAATAAACTCCTATTTAAAAAAATATTTCATAAATATAAGAAGTGTGACGTCATACTTTCTGACCCCTCCCCCTCTTTCCCCTGAAACAAAAGTCGTATTCCCCCTACCCACCCTAGGAATATGAAGCCATTTGTGGATGATCTTAATTCTATCTAGAGTCAATAAATGTTGTTGACCCGACTAAAAACCATCGCGCACCTATTGAACGTGATGACGCGCTTTTGCCGTAGAGCCCCCCCCCCCTCGCTCCACACCCAACACGGCCGTGATGACGCGTGTTGATAGAACTACCTACTTCGGTCCAAATTTTAATTAATTCATAAAAAATTAATTAGGCGACCAATTAAGTCAAATTGAATGTCACGATGCATTGTCTTCATGTCTTGACCCATGTACCAACTACGAACCGTATCTGTCAGTTAGAAGTGTTTGCAATTTCACACGGGCGTTTCGATCTAGACAGACAGACTGACGACAGACAGAGGACGTGAGTTAAATAAAAGCTTGTAAACATGTAAATAGACCTATTTTGACCTACTCTGTAGGGATTATGCCTGTGTATAAAACATTTTGTATTAAATATAGGCCTACTTGGAAAAGAAACGTTAACATTTGTGTTTATCCAAATTAGATGTATCAGATACACTTACAATTATATTTCCAAGTTAAAAGTCAGCCTATTTATTTATCAGCTAGGTTTACGCATAGCTCCTCTATTGTATTCTCATTACCTAAGCCCTATTTCAAACTAGGGCATATGCTGCGGCCCAGCAACTAGGTTTTCAAACAACAACGAGCGAGCTCCCCTCGTCCAATCAGAGCTCGACGTTTGTCAGCTAGCTAGCCTAGCCTAGAATGTCGAGACGCCGCCCCGTTAGGTCTAAACACGCAGAGCAAGTTAAAAGTAGAGATTGATTGTGCCTCCTTTCGAAACATGAAAAACTGCTTTCGAATTTTATTTTATAATGCATTTTTATAAATTACCCACACCTTTAGTATGCACTGTATGCTAAAAATTCTGACTTTCGTGGATACCATTCATTATTTTAGTGACATGGACGAAGTAAGTAAATTAAACAATTACGGCGCATTTATTAGTGTTAATTTAAAAAAAAAATTCTCAGACGTAGATTTCGAATGCAACCCAAGGTCAGATGCATCGACAACAAACATGCCCTGCAAACGGCAATAGATGGTTACCATGACCGTGCAGTGTGAAGCACGAACACATATTTTAAGGCCAGGAGCAGAGGCGTGGCAACGAAATAAAAAATAACTAACTTTGAATCATATTTATACTTATTAAAAAGATGGATAGGCCTACGACACAAAAGGAAAGAACACGAATTGAACGAGCAGCTTAAGTGGACGATGCTACAGAATAAATATATAAATAAATAAATAACTATATATATATATATATATATATATATATATATATATATATATATATATATATATATTGATATATATATATATTGAAATATATATTATTAAAAAAACTTGACCATTTTCAAATTATATTTTCATTTTGAAACTAATCATTTTGATTGACTTAATTTGCAAAGAACAAAATTAAACTTCATGTATTGCTCTTTACAAAAATTCAAATTTTGTTTTTAAAAAGTATACATGTTTCGTCTCTTAGTATTAATTACTTCCCTTGAGTTTTAGCTGAATTTGTGTCTGCGTTTGCGTCACGTTTGCATTTTTGTCTATGTTTCCCTCTTTGTTGGTGTTTGTGCGTTTGTTCTCATGTTTGTGTTTGTGTTTACAATTGTGTTTAGTTTTTTGTTTGCCTTTGCGTTTGCATCACGTTTGCGTTTAATTTTGTGTTTAGTTTTGTGTTTGTGTTTGCGTTATGTTTACGTTTGCTTTTGTGCTTTAGAGCATTTTTTGCGTTGTGTTTACGTTACGTTTGCTTTTTTTGTGTTTGCGTGTGTGTTGCGTTTGTATTTGTGTTTTTTTTCATATTCGCGTTTGTGTTTGTATATTTTTGTTTGCGTTTATGTTATTCTGTTTGTCGTACGTTTGCGTTTGTGTTTGCGTCTTTGTTTGCGTTTATTTTTGTGTTTGCGTTCGTGTTTGTGTTTACGTTTGTGTTTGTCTTTATTTTTGCGTTTTTGTTTGCATTTGCTTTTGTGTTTCTGTGCGTGTCTGTGTCTGTGTTGTGTTTGACCTTGTGTTCGCGTTTGCTTTTGTGTTTGCGTGCGTGTTTTTGTTTACGATTGGTTTTGAGTTTAAAAGCGTGTTTGCGTTTATGTTTGTGTTTAAATTTAAGTATGATTTTGCGCTTGCGTTTGTGCTCGTACAATCTGTGTGTGTTTGCGTTTTGTTTGCGTTTGCGTCTTTGTTTGTGTTTGAGTCTGAGTTTATATTTGCATTACGTTAACATTTATGTTTGCGTTTGTGTTTACATTTGCTTTTGTGTTTTAGAACGTGTTTCTGTTTCTGTTTTTTTTTTTTTTTTTTTTTTTTTTGCATTTGTGTTTTCATTAAGTTTGCATGTGTGCTTGTGTTTGCTTTTTTTGCGTTTGTGTTTGTATTTGCGTCTGTGTTTATGCTTTAGTTTGTGTCTGTGGTTTTGCATTTGCATTTGCATTTGGTTTTGCATTTGTGTTTGTGTATATATATATATATATATATATATATGTTTGTATATATATATATATATATATATATATATATATATATATATATATATATATATATATATATATATATATATATATATATACATATATATATATATATATATATATATATATATATATATATATATATATATATATATATATATAGATATAGATATAGATATATATATATATATATATATATATATATATATATATATATATATATATATATATATATATATATATATATATATATATATACATTCTTTACTTTACAAACATAAAATATTCAAATAGTGTTATGCCAAAATTTTTACGAGCGTAAAGCAGTAGGTGCAATGTCATTAAACGATATTCGAGTCTACTACTTAGCATTCACGTAGGTATTATGTTAAAAAAACTTAGCGAGTCATGCGTATCACGCACTTTAATTAATTCGTATTGTAATTTAATCAGTGATACGTTTTTATAATCTGTATTAAAAAAGATAGCTCTTTCATTAATCTGGCAATATTGTAAACCAAAGATTAGAGCAAAAAATAGTATTTTTCAATACATGTCAATAATAGGACTGGTAAGTAGGTCACCAACCAGCCCTATTCCCTTGCAGCTGTGTAGGTCGATACTTCAATCGATAACATATCGTGGTGAATGTATGCCGACAACACCCACTATTCGCTCGATAGTGATTACGCCTTCGCAGCGCCGGGGAAAATTTCCAAGAAATAGGAACTGAAACATTCTGCTCAGGTGCAGCTGCTGATTATTGAACAAAACACCAGGTGCTGCGATAAAGAACAGGATAAAGGGTTGAAATGTCTGATTAAGCGGTCTATTTTAAGAACAACTAAAGAACATTATAAAAATAAGGGTTTAGTAGTGGAAAGCCAATTAGAGTCTTTAGAATCTTCCTTTCTTTATAAATAGTGCCGGCGAAAGACAAGAAACAGAATTCGAGATTTTAGAGCGTTTAGGTGCACTACTACTCAACATTGCTTTAATAATGGGAACAAAACTACACAATTAGATTTTTTTACAAGCTTTTATTTAGTTCGCAACATCTGATTGTTGTTTGTTTGTGGGATTGTAGCTAATCTTGTAATTCAATTTTGACCCACTTATAATGTTGCGACTTTGTTCAAACTTTCCGGATATTTTCCACGCCAATAACAATACAAGTATACATATGTTTGAGTTTAATTAGATGTTTAATTTGTTATTAAAATTATTTAAACGTTTTTGAATCTAATGAGAGATTACAAAATTAAATCACTCAAAATATTACTATACGAGCCGACCCTCGGCATATCATACGCCGCCATTTAGTTGTTTTATTTTCTATTTTCAGTAATTCATAATTTGTGAATTCGATAGTATCAATGCTGCCACTGAATATATTTGCTTTAAAACACTGTCAGTAGCTCATTAAGGATGATAACCTCCCCACCCTCCTTTCCCCAACCCCTACCCTCCCCCCGTGAAAGCTCCCTCCTCTTAGTTACCTCCCCTAAGTTTAAAATATTTTCAAACTAAATTATCTGCCCCTAATAGCCGTCACTGAACCCGGCTCTAAGATTGTAAACATCTAGCGTGAACCACAGCTCACCAGACCATGTAGGGGTAGGGGCGGTAGGGAGCGCGCTTACAGCTTGGTGTTTTCTAGGGTCTCCAAGAAGAGAATTATATATATATATATAGAGAGAGAGATAACTAGCTAGATGCGATCATCCTAACAGCCTGGTGAGCTGTGGTTCACCAGAATATTTACGATCGGGGAGCCGGTTGATCTAGTGAAGACTATTAGCGACAGCTAATACAATTTTCAATCGATTTGAAACTATGGGGAGGTAGCACGATTAAAAACTCTTATTCCCTTTATCAGCTTGCTGTTGTCTGTAAAATTATAGTCAACAAAACTGAAAGGGTACTCAAGACACTCACACTGATCAAATTGCAAAGCCCAGTTTTTCCGACTCGATGGCGCCTTAAACGCCGAGATTTTGATTAATCTGGATTTGTAATTTTTGTCGTATTAAAATAAGTCCCAAATACTATGTATATTTTGAAGCACTGAGGCGTAAAACGGTAAAACTGTCAACATTTCTTGTGATTTCCGTGCACCATTACATACCTTAATAAATTTCAAATCAACCAAGACTATAGCTCTCTTCTACACTGTGGCCTGTCTGTCCATAGCATATATAGACAAGTCCTACATTGACGATATTTTTTTTATTACTGTTCTCCGGTTGTAGCCTTATCCGAAATTTATCTCTTTTCTTTCTCAGGACCTCATAAAATCAAGTCTCTTGGATATCTAATAGAAGTAAAAAGGGTTTAAACTATTAGTTCAGTCATGATTTGAGTCTAAAATGTTCTTAGGGTAGATGGAAGTAGATGATGACTGTCCATTGAAATCATTAAAGACTTTATAAGAATTAGTGTATAAAACAATGACAATGTTCAGTGAATCTTCTTCGACGGCAAATAATTATGGAACTCTGTTTCAAAAGGCTCTTTTGCGGGTTTCCACATACCCGAATCATAATGAAATCACTGGAGCACCCCTCAGTCCTACAGCTCTTGCCTTTAACGGCTTTGTGTTCTCGGGACAAGAGAATATCATTCAGTGTGAGGAGTGTGGCAGGGTAAATGATATTTTTGGTATCAGACAAGAACCCTCTGACAAATCTTATCACCACCCAGGATGCAGTTTTGCCATGAATTCTGATGAATTGTTAAATAAAAATGTGCTAACTGTAGATAGTTCTCTATCGACGGGTGCAAGTAACACAGACTTTTCAGGAGGTGATATTGATACTGATGGTGGCTGCCCAGACACCATACAATTAGGGGTTAATCAAGCAACCCCTGGGGTTGAAGATAAAAGCACCGGTCACCAAGCGGAAGGGGTAATTCAGGCTTCTGCTCAGGTTTATAGCGATGGGATGACAAATAATGAGAGTGGTTCTCAAAATGAAGTCTTGTTAGAACTACCTCACAGTAAGCTTGTTTTTGTTTTTGCGTTGGCCTTCTTAAATCTCATAAAACTATTAAAAGTCAGCTGTAGTTTATTCTTATTGTTATCTGTATGATGTTTTCATATATATTTTTAAAAATGTTTCGTAACCAGAACTCAGCAGAAGCTTGTCTTCGTCTTCAAATGGCTCTTCAGGTTATGATTCTAGTAAGTAAAAGTTAATTTTAAAAATTTCAATGTTAGAATACATTTCAAAACATATCAAGTTTAACAAAGCATTAATAAAAAACAACTACCCCTTTGTTGGGATAATTGACCAAGTTAGTTTGCCAATTTTAACTCACATCAGCTCTTAGATGCACTTTGTTTTGGTTCTACAGCAGGAAGTCAAGATTGGAGTTTCAATCCTTCAAATTTTTCGCCAGACCTGCCTGGGGATATTCCCCCTTTTTGTAAGTACCAGTTTAGCAACTAGAATAAAGAGAATAAAATTAAAGCGTTGACTCGCATAACTAACGTATAATGCAGTTGAATAACATTAAAGTTATCGTTAAACAGATGATGTTGACACATGCCAACCTGAATGTACAAATGAAAAAATTAAAGGCCCCGTCCATCAAGTTGACTGTAAGAAAAACCCCGGACATTTCGCGTATTTTCCCACCGGTTCTCTCACCCTGGAGCAAATACCCTCCAATACAAGGAGCCCAGAGGTTCTCCAATTTCTCAGATTGGCCGCCAACCTCACAGTGCGAATAATCGTGTCTTTTGTAAGCAGCCTCAGACCCCCGAGTGAAAAAGATATTCCCCGCTACGGGAGCGGGTTCGTCTGTGGAGTTTCTCTATCAGAGCCCGAAAACGGCAAGAAGAAACCCATCAAGCACTTGTTTAAAAAACACTCGCCTGGAACCGTCTACATCCAGACCAACCGCCATCTTGTGCTGGACACAGACGAGGCTGTCAATACAAAAGTTGAATTTTTTTACGACAAGCCTGACTGTAAAGACGCGGTGCCTGTTAAAGTCAAATCCATTTTGTTTAGCAAGACCCCAGGGGACAACGTGGTGGTGTTGGCATGTCGACCCAAGGAGAGCAGCCTGGTGCAGCAGCTGTACAAGATGAGGCAGGAGATGGCAGTGCTGGCTGACAGTCTGCCCAACAGGGCCAAGGAGTGTATGACGAAGAAACTTTTTATCATCAGTCACCCCCACGGCGGACAGAAAGTTTTGTCCTACGGCGATTCTGTTTTGGTCAAGTATGAAATAGGTACAGGTGAAAACGGACAACCCAAAATGACGAAAATGACGGGCAGAAATAACGGTAAGTAAAGTTTTTATTTCATAAATACTAAGCTTGTTCTGAAGTTTCAAGTCAATCTTTTTAGTCAGCATGCTTTAATTACTTGTTTGAAACTTTCCTCATCAAAATAATATTGGAGGTAAATAACATTGGTTTCAAATAAGCCTTTTAATTAGAATATCAATACCAAATTATTTAATTTTGTTGGAACCCATTGCTAATCTTAAATCACTAACCCCACAAACTTTAGCAGTATAATACAGAGTTGCTTATTCTTTTTCCTAAAAACCCATCTAGTGCCACCTAACTTGAGCAGTTGTAGGAAAGTTTACCTGTACGCGGCTGATACATGCGTGGGCTCCTCAGGTGGGCCAGTGATCACATTTAAAAAAGAAGCAACCAACGGAGGGAGTCCCATGGCCTACAAGCTGGACATGTGGATGCACAATGGCGTGGACACTGTGTACAAACTCAGTGCCTCCAACATGAAAGGTAGATTGTCTCTATAGCTCTAAGGCTTCACATCTGACTTTTAAAGAGCACACACGTCTGTCAACTTTTGCTTAAACTAATACGTTTAGAAACGAAAATCTGTTGACCTTTTTCACACGTACAAAAACAAAAGTATCCAGAATAGCTTGAGACTCTCAAAACTTCATCAGTTCAACTTTCTGTTTCTAATAAAAGTTAACTAATATTCCCATATAAAATTCAGCGTATAAGGTTCCAATAAAGCGAAGTGTAGCGTATGCCTATTGTATGTTTAAGTTTTAAATAAAATATAATCCTCAAACTTTATTTCATGTGTTAATATTGACAATGTAACGTTCCTTGTGATGTTCCAGCCAAAATTATAACTTAGATCGTCTAACTAAAACTTTTCTTTTAGCCTGCACTGAGAGAGACTTTCTCCCAGTAACTGCCCCAACATCGGGCACTAACGGACCAGCCAGTGATGAGAACGAGGACGACAACAGCTTGGGCAACCAAGCCGTGACCTCCCCAGTGTTTAAAGTGACCACCCACCCATCGTATCCCATGTATGTGTCATACAACAAGCGTCTGGACAGCTACACAAACAGCTGGTCATATGGTCACATACATCAGCCAATTCGCCTGGCGTCTGCTGGATTCTTTTATGCTGGTTAGGTTTCATTTTTATTCACTAAAAAGTGAATTCTGGCATAAAAATTAACAAATGCTGTTGCATTAAATGTGCTGAAAAAAAAATTAATGATTTGTTTTATAACAAATTTACATTTTATATTTATATCAGGTAAGTTATTTCAAGGTTGATATTATATGTTTAAGTTATAGAATGTAACTGTGAAGTAGCAATGGTGTAGCTTATTGTTGATATGATTAGCTTATTGTTAATTTATAATACAGTTTTGAGAATTATATTTGTTCTGTATATCTCATGATGTGTAAAAGACATTAAATTGCCTGAACACCTCCTAATACAACCTACAGGCTACTCAGATTGTGTTCGCTGCTTCCAGTGTGGGCTGGGCCTGAGGTCCTGGAAACCTGGGGATGATGTCTACGTGGAGCATGAGAAATACAGACCGACATGTCCGTTTCTTCGGGCACAGCTCCAGGCAGGGTTCAACACACAGACTCCCCCACATTCCCAAGGTAATCTTTTCATCATGCAGTTCCCACAATAGGGCTTGTAAGTAGGTCACAACTTCTCGTTCTTGTACTTACCAGCTAGTAGATTTTGAGACCGTTGACTTACAAGCCCTATTATCCACTGAGTTTTAAAAGCTGAAAAAAAATCACTTGCACAACAGGAATAATTATATTTGATATGTGCCCTCCAGTTGGAGAAAATGAAATCCAGAAAGTTCTGGAAAAGGAGAACAGTCTTCTCCAGGCACAGTTGACCTGCAAGGTATGTAACAAGGCCCAGATCAAGGACCTGTTCCTGCCATGTGGTGACCTCTACGCCTGCACAGACTGCTCCAAACTGCTCACACAATGTCCGTCATGTGACAAACAGATTCTTGGTACAGTAACCACATTTTTCACGTAACTTTACATCATCCACCAACACGTATAATCCACAAACACGCATAATCCACCAACACGTATAATCCACAAACACGCATAATCCTTAAACACGCATAACTTTCTTACCATCAGCGTTAAAAGTCTATTTTAATTAAAACTTATCTTTGACTCCATTCATTTCTACATGGTATGTGTACGTGTGAAAGAATTCTTAACAGAACATCTTTATTTTGTATAAGTTTTACTTAAATATTCTTTTAATAGCAAAATTATACATTTATATACTTGAAATTGTATTTTAGGTGCAACACATTTTAAAACACAAAAAGCCCTCGAAATGTTTAATCGCATACTCTAAATCACTTGTTAGCTCTTTGCAGTAGGCTTTTTGAACACCTCCAGAAAATGTTCTGGATGTAATTTAGATTTTTTTTTGTTGGCTAAATGCCATTTTTATTTGCATTAATGTAAAATAAGTAATGTATAACTGTCAAGATAGTGTAAATTTGTACATTTTAGTTTAGCCGCTTCTGTAGTCATGACACTGCAATACTCTACTGTATCTACCCTCCTTAAGTCGAGTTACCAGCAGTGCTGAGTACACTCAGACGTCACGTTTAGCTGGGCGGGCAACTGAACTTGTCTTGTGGGTATGTAGTTAAATGGGTGGTATGGTGAAGTGGGTAGCTCAGGCTATATAGTTTTAGACAACGTTTTTTTTTGTAAATATGTACCGTTTTTAACCTTTTTATTTCAGTAAGTTTATATGATATAATCTACTACTACATGTTGGTAAAGATAATTATATCTGGTATCGAAGCAAACTTAGAGTTATTACTTAGAATTATTACAAAATTATGCTTCATTGTAGATTTTCTCTATGGGGTAGTGGAATTCATACATTAATCTTAAACTTCTTCCTTAACTTGAATATAAAACTACTTAAGTTATGAGTCACATAACTAAAATATATCAGCTTGTTTGTTTGTTTTTGTGTGAAAAATAAAATAAGAGTGCCTTTTAAAAGCTAAATGTTTATGTTGTTGCACCATCAAAATTCAAACTGTGTTGCTTCAAACTGTCTTTGATACTATTTCACACACATTTAATCCAACACTCTGTTAAGAAATCAATATAATAAAATTTTATTCGATTTAGATTCCAAAGATTTGTTTTATTTTTTACAGAAAAGTGTAGTTCTATAGCCTCTGTAGTATGATACTGTTCACTACATGAATCAAGGCTATGAATGTTTATGTATGTAGGCCCTACAGTTTGTTACTTACGATGCAGTGTGAAAATAACATATCCATTTCATTCTATTCCAAGTCTTGCAACGTTTCTCTTGGTTAGTTTTACTGGGCTTAGTTCGTTAGCTCTTACATAATCTTAGCTCAATCGGGAGTTTAAACTCTAAACACATGAGATTTAAACTTCTTATTCCTGTATTGTTATCTCGATTGTTTTCTACCATTTGAAGAAAGCGGTCGATAGACAGTACTTTCATCGAGCTTATTGGAAGAAAGCGGTCGATGAATCCGTCATGCTTATTGGAAAAATAAAATGAACGATAGACACTGTTCCTGTAAAGATTATCGAAAAAACAACGATCGATAGATTCTGTGGCCTGTATTCCTGTTGTTTCGGTTTCAGTCTGCTACAAGCTGTATCAGCCACGAGTTTAAGGTCAATGAGTTGTATAACAAGGCAACAATTTAAATACTTGCTGCCAGTGTGATCGTTTCTCTTGCTGTTATTTCTTGATCACAAGCAGGGCACCTAGAGACTTTGTTAGCACAATCCTTGCAGGCATAGATATCGTGGCATGGAACAAAAAGTTGATCCTTTTCTTTGACTTGGCACATCCTGCATTTGAGTTGCTGTTGAAGTATGTCGTTTTCGCGCTTCAGTAAAGTTATTTTATCACCAGAAGGGCTACTGAGTCTTCGCTTATTGGAATCTAGAATGAAATCAAAATGAAAACATAGGCTAATTAAAAGTAAGCAATAAATTCAAATTAAGAATCGAATTATAAATTTTAAGTGAGACAGAGTTGACAGAGTTGTCTAGTGGTAGAGAGCTGGACTGCTAACCCGTAAATCTCGAGTTCGAATCCGGGTTCAAGTCAGTAGACCGTCCTTGAGTCCACCCAACTCTGATGGGTACCTAACTCAAGTTAAGGAAAGTAAAGGCGGCTGAGCATAGTACTGACCACACTATCTCTTCATATGCCGAGGTCACAGAAACAAGTGAACTCTACTTCACTTACCCTATGGACCGTCAGGTTTGAAAGGGAACTTTACTTTTACATTTTGAAGTCTGAAAAAAACCTAGCAGACCTTACATTTGAACATCCTTCACGTTATATTAGACAATCTATTGGTTTAAAACAATCAAAAGTTTGCTCTGGTTAATAAACATATATATATATATAGTTCACCAGGATCCATCAATGCCATGTTGACTACAGTTTAGAAATATCACCTTTGTCTTTGAACCCTCCGCTAGAATTCTCAGAGTTAGCTTCGGTGGCCATGATAGTACCTACACGTTGTCAACAGATCTCCTACCAGTCTAGAGAATTCCTCCGCAACATGGCCAGATAAACACGCTTGCCTAGACGTTGAAATACAACTAATGTTTAAGGCTGAAAGACCCGTGATGCAGACATGTACAAAGTAAATAAAACATACTAATGTAGTAAATATCTGCTGCATTGTAAAAAGTCAATTGGTGCAGGAAATTGAAGAAAGAATAGAAATCAATACAATGTTGTAACATGCGATGTAGGCTGGTAGTCTGTGTAGGTAACTAAAATGATTATCGAAGATCTTTTAAAGATAGAATTGCGAAAGAGAATGGAGCTTTAAATTCTTCGTTTAAATAATTCTAGTAAAATTCATACACAGTTAACGGTATCCGAAGTTTGAAAAAAGTCACCAAACGATCCCTGTTTATATAACAAATATCTTACTATCAAATATAAAACAAGATAACCACTGGTATGCTTACCGAAATCTTATTTTCAGTCACTGTTATTACTCCAGTAAGGCAATGTTTCGACTTGGATGTTTGCACGCCTGAACTCACAATTACGGCATATTTCGGTCAGGTATTCATCTTGACTGAGACTGACGGAAAATGAGGGTGCTATCGCCAAGTTCTGGGGTGCTTCCTAGATCCCGGAAGTCATGGAGAAATTTGTGTCACTGGATTTGATGAGTAATACAACCCTCCTTTATTCTTGTGTCAAACTAGGCTTCACGTGGTAGTTTACTTAGAACTACAAGTTATATCTTGTTCCCAATTGTGGCCAATTGCCGTCTCATGCAACTAATTGACCCCAGCTTTCGCATTATGAACAATCTCTGAGTAGTTTTAAAACCTTTTTTTAAAAATAATTCATTCGATCAGTTTGCATGTGGCAACAGCCTGAACTGACATCGGTGAACTATTTGAAATGAAGATCAGTTTTATAAATCATATATGTTTTGAAACTATTATTTAAATTAAAGGCACGATGGGTTATGGGGAGTCCAAGTTTAGCAGTGACAGTTAAATGATACAAAATAGCTAAAATGTAACAGGAATTATAATATACAATTAACAAAACAAAAATATCCGAAGAAGTATAGGTGTAGTTGAAGAGCTTAATTGTTTGTTTTTCACTGAATTACCAGACCGTAGATTAAACTACGCTTATGCGCAAGACAGTAAAATGAAGATCAATATCTAAAACTTTTTTTTCGCAGCTCGAAATAAAAAGTTAAAATGTGTCGGGTTTCCCCCTTAAGTAGGTCGATGTTATGTAGGTTACCACAAGTGTTTAGTGAAGTTTGAGTCTCGCAATTAGGGTAGTATCCTGGTTTAAACATAACTCGTTTTTAAATGTTTATCAAAATCGCGAGTTGGCACAGAGGCTCGGCCTACCTGACAACATTGTTCAACTTTTGAACTCTAACCTCAAGGAGAGGTGGTTACTATAAATACGCATACAGATATCCCCGATAACGTAGTTTCTAGTTTTAGAAGTTGCTTCGTCTATGCTAGTCAAACTAGGGCGGCTCTCAGTAGCTTAAACAAGAGAACGGGAATTCCTGCTCTGACAGAAACTCGCGCTGTAAAGACTTGTTTATCCAGCTCGGCTTGGCTGCTTGTCAAATTTTCTTTATCCTGGTATTCATCGATTGGCACACGAACAAGTAAACTCAAACCTTACCACTTAGCCTAAAACTAGTTTTTTTTTTAAAGATTAACATAGAAGTACAGATATGGACTGTAGAATACAACAACAGTCTGAAATAGGAATATGAGCTAGCTTACATCAGTTTCACCCCCCCCCCCCCCCCATCCTCTCTTATGGTAGAGTGTTGGCTTGATCAACGAGTAGCTTGCATTAAAAATTTGTCGTTTTGTTTTTGCGACAAACAAGCAAATTAAACTCAGCTGTAAGAGACACAATAAAATACGCCAACGTGTCGGAGTTTTCCCCCATTTTGTAGCATCGTTAGGATGAAAATGTTATATCTATAAGTTACATGTTTGCATTGAACCCCGCGAATCTTAGCTCACTAATACTTAAAGGATAACCACTGTTTATGCGTTTCAATAATTACCGGTAAGCAAACTGCAGTTTCCATTCAATTCATTATTTAACATGCGCTAGAACAACGGCAAAGGCCCCCCCCCCCCATGAGCCTTTAATATCTCGAAGACCTACATTTTGTTTATGAGGTCAATGCAAATATATCGCCTGTAGTTGTTACCCCTACCTCATGAAATCGTTCAGCCATATTTTATGTCAACAACGACGGTTGTAGCAACAGCAACCATTGCCTGTTTACGTTCACCAGATTTGCTGTTGCCTTTTTTTTTTGGGGGGGGGGGGGGCGATGTTGGATAGTGACGATTGAGGTGGGGTGGAGGAGGAATGAGGAGGGACAGTTAATTTAGTTTAAGCCTCTGGGAACAAATTGTCAGATGAAGACCCTTTTATATTAGAAACCTACCGACGAGGGGGGGTGGGGGATTATTTCCCTCTCTTTGTCCTTGTATTTATGAAATGAAATGTAAACGTTCCTGGATGAAATGAAAGAACACGTTCTTCAGGCCTTTCGTTACGCACCATGAAGTCTCACAAAAACGTAACCTTTACTTCATGTAACCTCTTGCTTACATAAGAGTCTGTTTACACACTTCATTTCAGAATTAACTAGGCCAATGTGAAGGTCACCCCTGCTTACGTTGTCTAGAATAGTTCCAGCGTTTAACTGCACAGTTAACGACCTTACGCTAGATAAATATGGTTTCCCCAGGAAAAAAAATACGTTCCAAATTCAACGTTTGAAAGTCAAACTACAATTTTACAGAAAATTTTTATGGAACAAGACTCTTTTGTATACGAATGTTTGAAGCAATTGAAGTTAATTAAAATAATCATGTGCAATAAAATATGCCTTAGGTGTACATAATAAGGTGTTCACAAATCAATTATATACGAACATTATTACAAGCAAATTGTAACTGTAATCGGTTGAAACTTCAATATTCCTTGTGGTTAGCTAAGATTCTATGAACACAACATGCTTCTTTAATTACTTGTTTATATTTATAAAAGTGCTTAATTAGCTTTCGGTCAGTTTAAATGTGGATTATTTCTGGAAATACCACCCTGTCTAAATAGCCTTGTTTGATTGGCACATTCCCAAACAGCTGCTTCGGGTGTCCTTGCTAACCATAGGCAACCCATTTACTTGGTGTCACAAAAGCTCTTTTCTGCCCAAACACTTGAACTTTATTTTACAGCTAGAACTACGATCCACTTGAATATTTCTAGTGCCAGGAACAAATACAAGTTATAGCCTAAACCTTGGTCCCATTACATAAATGGCGAGGCTTCTGACGACCTGAATGTAAAGCAGTATTTATACCACACATATTAAATAACTGGTGAACTCTACTTCTCTTGCACCACGGACTGTCATTTTCGAAAAGGGACTTAACTGTTAAAGATATTTTGGATATCATTTATCGCAACTTTTAAATTGGCTGGCAGAAACTTTGGAATACACAAATGTTTAGTAGAGAATGTAACAGTTGATTTTTCGTTTGACAATTTTCTTCCTGCTTATTTGTTCTGTCAAATAGTGGGGTTTACCGTGTCGTGTTGTTTGATAATAAAAATATGTGTGAGTGTCTGTGTGTGTGATTGTGTGTATGTGTGTGTATGTGTGTGTGTGCGTGTGTGTGCGTGTGTGTGAAATGAGATTAGTGGCGTCGGGCTGAAAAAGATTGTAGAGAGGCGGAGACTATGGACTGGAGGTGAAAGTTTGAGGAGGCAGTAGCTTGGGACATAGTCTAATGCTAAAGTTCGAGATGGAAAATGGTGAGAGCTGGGTCTTCTGGTGTTGAGGAGGGTTGGGGTACGTAGTATATTTTTATGCAGTGTTTCAGTAATTTTCGGGGGGGGGGGGGGCGGACACTTGTAAAGGTTTATGTTTTCTATATAAATTCCATTTCGTTTGTGGGCTGGGTACTTCTCCCCATCCCCCTCCCCTCCCCGAAGAGATGCCAGGGAGAAACTCTGTTTTTATGTACTTAATTTTTTAAAGAATATTTGAATGGTTTGTAACAGCTATTAATAAACACCCTCTTTTTACTTACAGTGTCAGGGGACAGAACCCCATAATAAACAAATCATATTTACATGGAGCGGTTACGGTTCCTATAGATGACTTAACAAAAAAAGTAACATTTGTTTTTGTTAAAACACGATGCAGTGGAATAACTACTAATCACAATAATTTCTCAAAATTTTTTTTTAATTCAAATTGTTTAGATCATTTTAAAATTAAAGTGTTATTTTTTTAAATTTATAGTCGTTTAGGTATTTTATTAATTAATTATTAAGTCTCTTTTAACATTTGAACCAAACCTAGCCCGTCATGGAGCTAAAAGTGCAAAGCTTACCCTAAGATACAATCAGTTATTATGTTGGTTGTTTACATGTACTGTATTCTGAGAGTTGTTTTTACATTATGTCTATGTGTGTGTACCCTATTGTAAGCATACTAAATTGTGTGTTTGTAGGTGCCAAACTATGTGTATAATTACATTATTTATTTTTCCAATTTTGCTTAACGTGTGTTTCTGCATTGAATTCAGTGTTTGTGTTACCGAATATGTTTGTATGAAATATGTATTTGCATGTCTCATGCGTGCGCTTGTACCTGATTGCAAGTTTTTGTGCGGAATAAATTATGTGAGTTTTTGTCTAGCCACTGCTGCATTTTCCTATACTAAGTTATGTGACTTGGTGTATATTTCCTTTCTTGTAGCTATGTGTACTCTAATGTGTGTGTGTTTGTGTGTATTTTCATGCGTGCTTTTAATATTGTGTACGCAGGGGTAGCCTCAACATTACTAACTTAAACTCTCACTTTATTCTTAATGCATACATTTATAAAAAGAGACATATTTTTAATTTATTTATGAATTCGTTGCTATTTACTTTAACGCTACACATACTTAATAAAACAATTTTTGTACTAAATATAGTAGCCTACGTTGGCGTCAGTAGTGACGTTGGAAGTTGATGTAGGAAAGAGAGGGGGGGGGTGGTCAGAACAGATAAGATAGCATTATAAGGAACACTATTTTGACATGTATTTATATGTTGTCGTCAAAGTACACAAGTTTCTTATCAGAGTTTAGAAATAGTTTGCTCGTAATATCTTCATATTTCCTTATATAGCACATTACAGTTTGGTTGTAGTATGATATTACATAAAACGCATATTATTAATCAGTAAAGAAACTAATAATTTAGTTTAAATAATAACTGACTTTCTTAATAGTTTAGCCGGATGTATTTTGCAGTAAATGTTTCTGCCTCTCTATATAAAAATGTATTGATTCAAAAGCTTATTAATAGTATTCCCTTCTTTCATCGGGAACAGATATTTAATCTCATGATCATGCTCTTACGCTTGTACTTATTTGTTTTTGCAGACATCGTATAAAATCTCTTTTCAAGAGAGGATGGTATTTTATTCAGGTAAAGACAAATGTGTTGTATGCGCATGTTGCATACGAGAAGCTGTTGCGCATAATGTTGGTGTTTACCCTGTGGCGTCCAGTTCACTGGTACAGGTAGCACTCTATGTGTATAGAAAGCACATTGTGTGTGGATGGTACATACATCACATTTTGTGTGGTTGGGGTACCTCGTTTATCTAATCCAACAAAGCAAAAAACTACATGGAAACTTAAGGTTTCAAGCTTTTCTCGTACCAAAAACTAATGCTGATTGTCCAATAACTAAATACGTTTTTGGTAAGTGAAGTTTTTTTGGTTATGCAACGCATACTGAACAGCGATCTTGAACAGTGTTGTAGTGTGATTGATAAATCAATGTGATGTGGTGTTTTATAAAACAGGATTAGGAAAGCGTTTGCAAAATAAGTTTATGTTACAGGAAAATGGATTTAGTGTTGTTTGTCGTAGATACTTACGTAGAACACCTAACGTAATCTTAGCCATAAACTAAAAATTTCAAAGATGACAAAATAATATCGGAATACATTCGTTTACAGTGCAAGCTCCAATAAGACAATTACAACAGTGTACAAATGTAAAGTTTTTGACTCATATCCTACAACATCAGTGCGCATCACTTACATACTTTTTAAAATAATTCATTCTACACAGTCGATGGTTCCTCAACACAATCAGCCACTAACGTGATATTTGACTTAGGCGTTGAAGCTGATAAGAGCTCGCATTTCAAATAGGTCTCGTTGTTTATATGGAACCTTGGTTTTCCGCATATGGTTTCAATAAATCCGAACTTAGAAATCAATTCTTTCACACAGCTGCGGAGAAGCCTCTGGCACTCGAGATAACTTCCATCTAACCTGGTATAAGAATATTCCCTTCTAACTCGGGTTGCTAAGATAAAAATCTCCTGTAGAAAATGCTGATGGATTGGCCTCGTGTTCCGGATCCCGCCTACTGATACTCATATAAGGTATCGAGGGGAATGGAACTTGATAACACAATGGAAATGAATTATCACGCATAAACAATATTTGGTTTTATTTAGTTTTAAACTTTATAGAAGATTACTTATTTTATATAAATAGAATTTCAATATCGCTTAGTTTTTAGAAGAAATAAGTTTGAAACGATCAAGTATATCATGATGCACAATAACTACTCATAAGCCATACACTAAATACAGAAATGTAACACGCTATAATAACCGCGCATCAAATATTTCTCACATTTAAACTCTCACATCATTAAGTTGTGGATATGTAACTTGATAATCAGAAAATATCTAATGAAGATATATAGATCGACTTCCTTATTTACAAGTAACTGCTTAATTTCTGGAGTCGAAGTTGCTTCACCACCGGTGCTGACCGTAACATGGTTGGCGACACTGTAGAAAGGATGTTGGACCAGTGTAGCAAGACAAACATTCAACACTTTATGTCTTAGAAGTATAGCACATAACATTGTATCTGATAATTAGATAGCATTGTGGCGAAATCTCAGTTCATTAGCGCGATGACTTAATGTTCAAATATCTTTGTTTCATCCAAGTTCATTAGCGAGATTATTAAAATTTGATGGTCAAATATCTGAGTCAGTCGGTGGACGGTGGCCGAGACGACATGGTGGCGAAATCTCTCCACGAGTGGTTGGGGTTGTCCCGCTTGGACCTCTCGATGTCCCTGAGCAGTCTGTCCACGGTGATGTAGGTCCAGGACCTGTTCTTGTTCAGCCAGTCCGAGTTGATGACCTTTGCCCTGCTGTACATGAATGGGCTTGTCCCGAGTGTGCTGTGGCCGGGGGCTGACGAGGAGCGACTGTCGTATCTGCAGAGAGAAATTAATTTGACCAAAAAGTACCAGCGTATTGCCAGTCTTTCTTCTTCTTCTTCGTTCTTAATTATTAGTGTTGAAGGGGATCGAGATTTATCTGCCAGTGGGTTTTGAACTCGAGACTTTGTTCGAATTTATCAACCATGAGCTTTTTGCCGGTGAAACTCGAACTCCCACAAAGCTTAGACGGACGTCTATAAATGACGTTATTTTAACCGACTTTTACCATTTACCTTTCATCATAACATACGGAACCACAAGCTTAAAATGACGTCACAGTTACACTTTCTTAACAAACAATATAGTCGGTATCGACATACTAATAAATAATACATTTCTACACTCTTAATAAAGTCTACTTAAAATTAATCATATTCAGTTTAACAGTCACACATCAGTACATTAATAGAGTGTAAACGGTATATAGTTCTATTATAGATTGTAAAAATAAGTGAAGAAAGGGAACCTACTCTATTTGATAAATGCTGCTAGTCGAGTCAACTCTCGAAGATTTCCTGAGCAGAAAGAAAACACAATCTTAGTCTCATTACGGTAGCCTTACAATTTTTATAATAATAACTAATTTTAAAAGTTAAAAAAAAAATAAGTATTTTGTTAAGCTATACAAATACATGTTACATAAAAATACAATATCTTTAACTTGACACACTGTAGAAATATAACCAGAGAAGAAAAGAAGTAATGTATAATGTCTAAGTAAAAGTTTCTAAATCATAAAATGATGGTAAATAAAAGTTAAACCGTTATATTATAATTGATTTGAGCACTGAATGATCTAAAAAGGTAGGGATGTTAGCCCGACATTGGGAATGGAGGGAGGGAGGGAGTGTAATGGAAGTGTCAGGTAAATTTTATGCTTCCCACAGTCACATTACCGTAAGTATAAAAAAAAAAATTAAGTATAAATTAAAAAACAAAGCACACAATTTATGAAGTGCCAAAAGTGTTGACTACAGGTTGGAAAAAGGCTGATTGTACTAGCACAGGGGTCGGCAACCTTTTGAAGCCGAAGAGCCAAAAGTTACAATTTTCAAAATTTCCCTGATTTTAAAGAGCCACTAACATTTATTTATTTCAAATATTTTATTTTTTATTAAGATTATTAGTATTTGTACAAGGAGCTGGAGAGCCGCATCTTCATATCAAAAGAGCCGCATGCGGCTCGCGAGCCGCAGGTTGCCGATCCCTGTACTAGCACATGTGGGTGATAATTCGAAACAAGCAACATGAGTGCTCTAACTTTCTCGAACTTTGGTTATTTTAGTTCGCTGACAGCAACTCGATAAGATAAATTTTGCAGGCCGGTTTGTGTCACTTTTTCAGCCGGGTGTTTTCTGGGCAATGTTACCAAAAAAGATTTTTAAAAAATCAGCTAGACCTGTCTGCACTGTTTATTTTAATTGAAGTTGACGTCACAATGGCAGTACTATTTTCTGCACTATTTATTTTAACTGAAGTAGAGTATTATACTGACTGTGGACCTTGGTTGGGTAATGAACTATACCCTAACACATACCCTCTTTCACGGGTAGCCTATAACTTTCTGGAGCAATTCTCTTAAGCCGGTCAAGATGTAAAATTGAGCCTTTTCTCTCAACCCTGCTGCCAGAAGTTTGACCATTGGTTTTCTGTCGTCTACTTTCACTTCCCATGTACCTCACTACTTGGTATGGATACGTGGGTAGGGGGCAGGGTGGGGTAGGGTTGGGGCGGGCCAGTTTTGTTCGAGAGACGACATACACTGTGGAGCTTTGAACGGAACATGTCATTTTACACGAGATCTCCAAATCCATTACCTTGATTAATACTTTCTGTGCTTTAAATATTGTTGTTTTTGTTAAACCCTTTTACCCTCAGTACACAATTTAAGTAATTCCTGGGGGTAGGGGCGCCAACATACCGATTGGATTTATATTTCAGGCATCCGCCGTGTGAAAAATTAAAAGAAAAAAGTACCCATTTAAATCTGGCGATGTATGTCGCAGGTAAGTAGAGTATATCTGTTTCAGTGACCTCGGCACTAGAGATAGAATGGTCAGCTCTATGTTCAGCCACCTTTATTTTCTTTAACGTCAGTCAGGTACTCATAAGAGCTGGGTGGACTCAGAGACATTCTACTGACTAAAACCCGGATTATCATGTGACAAAACTCACCTGGAATTCCTCTGGCACACCTTGCATACGACGACAATTAAGAGCAGAAGAAACAGGATAGCGCACGTGCTGGCTACTGCTATGGACACATACGTGTGAGTACTCAGCTGGGTGCTAGTGGGTACTGAAATATACAACATGACGCACGATTGATTAGTTATTTTTACGTACGTTTAACTGGGTCAGTGGTTACAACTACTGCTAAGAGTTACATTAGTCATAAAATAATAATGAATATTATTATTATTAGTACTAGTAGTACTATTGATAGTATTACTACTGCTATTATTATTTTTATAATAAGCCTATTAACATTGTGATGTTGTTATTATTAATTTATAATAATAATATAAATAATGAAAAAAATATTTATTATAATATTAAGGATATTAATAATAATAATAATTACTATTATTTGTTTACCAATGTATTAATACTACTATTATTATGTTATAATTAGCCTTTTATTATTATTATTATTACTATTATTATTATTAATATTATTAATATTAATATTATTATTATTATTATTATTATTATTAGTAGTAGTAGTAGTAGTAGTAGTAGTATTAGTAGTAGTAGTAATAGTAGTAGTAGTAGTAGTAGTAGTAGTAGTAGTAGTAGTAGTAGTAGTAGTAGTAGTAGTATGATTCTTGTTATTATAATTAAACTAAATAAAGTTTTATTATTTTCATTATTTATTTCTTTAATCACACTCTAAACGATTTAAGTTTGCATTGTATCTATAACAATACACGCCTGTGAGTTACCTGCTGCTGTGACGATGCTGTCTGCCTTAACACAAATGGGAGGTGCTGGGACCCACGCCCCACTTTTACATGTCACCTGAAAAAACCCATCTCAACTATATTTTAACCGACAGAAAAATATTTGCGAAAAATTCTTCCAAATGGAAACATAATTTTTCTAAAAATGCAATATTTTTATGGAAATTATAATTTTTAGCAATATTTTACTTTGAAATACATTTAAAAAAAAAAGAAATACTTATTCATATTGAAATAGTATTTTCAAATTTAAAGAAAAATTGGGAAGACCCGTCCCAAGAAAATAATTTTCTACGCTGAAATAATATATTTCAAGATATTAATAAAAATAATGTTCACATAAACTTAACACATTGTGGTCTGGCGTTTTATATCTGTTCTATTAGAACCAGTGAATGGAATGTTTCCAATAAGTGAACAGAAATTATAAGCATAAAACTATAGGCAACACAAATAATTTTTGGTTTACATTTTTAACAATAATAACAAGTACACGAAATTTTAAGAAAAAACAAACATTGTACAACTTATATTATCGACCTTCCATTTTTCTGGTTTTAAAATTACGAACTTTAATATAATATATTTACCTGAGATAGCAGTTTTAAACTAATCAATACATTAACCAAGTTTTTTTACCTGTAAGCTACAGGTTAAAAAGTAATAAATTTAGCGTTTCACCTGAGCTGACTGTTTTACAAATGTGTTCAAGAAATCTGCCTCACCTTCGAACTGCCCTGTAGGGTGTAGGTGTCGGACAGGTAACAGGAAATGTCTACTACCGTCCCCTCCGTCCTCTCGTAGGTGCTGACTTTCAGGGAGTTGACGTTGTCGGCAAACACCAGACCCTGGTAGTCCGTGGCCAGCACGGGACACAGGTCTGAAAGTCAGGGTGGGGGAGGGGGGTCAGGTGATGGGAGCAAACTAGATGTTAGGCCCTATAATGGGTCACTTAGATGACTGAAGGCAATATGGATGTCAAAGGGTTCAATGGATTTCAGCAAAAAAAAAAAATGGTTCTACTTTACCAGAGAAATAAAAATGATTTTGTCTAAATATAGCCTATATAATTTTTTTTCTATTGATTTTTAACGCTTTATTGTTTATAATTTGAAATCTAATAACGCACAATGACAACGGTCACTACAACCTGGCCACTAACACCAAAGTCACTAGAACCTGGCCACTGACACCAAGGTCACTACAACCTGGCCACTAACACCAAAGTCACTAGAACCTGGCCACTAACACCAAGGTCACATGTCCTGGACACCAAGGTCATTACATCCTGGCCACTAACACCAAGGTCACATGTCCTTGACACCAAGGTCACTACATCTGACCACCAACACCAAGGTCACTACAACCTGGCCACTAACACCAAGGTCACATGTCCTTGACACCAAGGTCACTACATCCTGGCCACTAACACCAAAGTCACATGTCCTGGACACTAAGGTCATTACATCCTGGCCACTAACACCAAGGTCACATGTCCTTGACACCAAGGTCACTACATCTGACCACCAACACCAAGGTCACTACAACCTGGCCACTAACACCAAGGTCATTACAACCTGGCCACTAACACCAAGGTCACATGTCCTTGACAGCAAGGTCACTACATCTGGCCACCAACACCAAGGTCACTACATCTGGCGACCAACTCGTGATGCCACACCTGCCCCTAGCTACAGCCTAACTTAATAAAAAAAAATAACGATTGTATTTTTTTCAATACTCATTGGCAGGTGTAAGCAATTAACTTTGTATAATTGCTTATTGCGTCTCACAGTCTCGCGTGCACGGCCGGCTGTTGATGGGCCGTGAGTAATTGTTTCAGGTGCCGCTCAAGTCAAGTTCTAAGGCTTATAGAGGCAAGCTCTTCACAGTACAACTACACAATTTACAGAAGATATAATATAGTACATTTCTGTCAAATAGATTAATGTTCGTCTTTAGTAGACCAACCGTGTTTGGATGATAAGTAAAGAGAGTTTTTAAAAAAATCTTGATGGTATCCTAAAATAAAGATTCCTGCCTTTCATAAATAGGCCTTAATCTAGAATTATTTCTAACATTTTATCTCAGGTTTAGACCATATCTCCCAGCTTACCGGCATTTTTTACACACGAGGGCTGCTGTGGTTTCCATGCACCATTGACACAGGTAACCTGGTGGATTAAATGTTCGTTTTAATGTCAGAATAGTCACGTTATTGGTCTCAGGGTGTGCCCATCCCGTCCATTTTAAATTCAATTTGAAATAAATTTTACTTTTCAAATAAACAATTATTTCATTTTAATATATTAAATAAAACACGTTTTCTATTTAAGTTTCATAAAGACAAGCTATGAAGTTTTCTGTGTGCTGGAACTCCTTTAAGCATGTTGGTATAACTGTTCCTGATGTTGTTGCAAGAGCTATACTACATACAGTAATCAACAAACCGGCGAGCTGCCTTTAAGAGTGTAGGAGTTTGAGCTGTAGCACGAGACTTTGACCACCGTCCCGTTGGTGCGGCTGTCGGTGCTCACGACAAGAGCTGCTGGGTTGTCGGCCGTGATGATACCACTGGACAGGGCAGGGCAGGTGGCTAGTGGTGCAGAACGTTTTTTGTTTACATATATATATATATATATATATATATATATATATATATATATATATATATATATATATATATATATATATATATATATATATAGCCACATATCAGTAAATTGTGCGGCGTGGCCTAGAGGTAGAGAGCTAGACTGCTAATTAGGGAGTCTCGAGTCCGAATCTGTGTACACGTGAGCAAAACGTCCCCGAGGCAATCCAGTGAAAGTTAAGACGGCTGGGCATAGTGCTGACCACAGTATCCTCTCATATGCCGAGGTCACAGAAACAGGTGAACTTAAATTCACTTGCCCCATGAACCGTCAGGTTCGAAAAGGGAAATTTACTTACTTTACTATATATCATTACATTAATCAAATATAAAACAATTTAATTTAATTAAATACCTGTCGCCATCTCACGAAGATGTGCTAATTCTTGCTCTGCTTAATTAGTATTAACGTTAAATCCAGATGATCTCGTGATCTGCTCTCACACGGAGAATCATAATCAAAGTTTGTAGACGAATAACCGCACAATTCATTACAGCCCACATCCACATTCAAAAGTATCGTGTTTCTTAAAGGTGAGTACTACACACGCAGTCTCTGATGTGAAGCGAAATTCCCGCCGTGTAATGTACACACTAGGTCACACAAGCACATACACGGAATTCAAATTTGTATGAAGACACAGTATTTGTACAGTTATATTCGAGACCACAAAAACACATACATAAAATGTGTGTAGATGGAAACTGCTTGTACATGCTCAGTCGAGCAGATTGTGAATGTGATATGTTTACACACAATCATTGATTTATCGATCACCAGCACACTCACACTACCACCAGCTGTTACACGCTAGAGCCCCGCCCAGAACTCCACCCCACCCCCTCATCACATACTCATACGATTATAAATCATTGGTTGTGTTATCGATCTATGAGTAATATATTTGTGTAGCAATAATGGGCGTATCGTGTTTTTAAACATCAACTCAAGATTTCAAGTACAGATTAAACCAGATTTAGCGTTGGGTTTCATCTGTTAATCTTTAATCGAATAAGTTTAAATGTTGATTTAGCAGCTATAGGCGACTAGTTACTATAAGAAAAATACATTATTAATATGTTTTTAGATAAAAGGCGTCTTAAAAAAGGTAAATTTTACAGAGCAAGGTACGAGAGCCTTTTTATTTTGGCAATAATAGGTACCTGAGTCCACCCAGCACTGATGGGTATCTAGCTCAAGTTAGAAAAAGTAAAGCCGGCTGGGTTAAGTGCTGACCACATTATCCATTCTTAAGCTGAGGTTACATAAACAGGTGAACTCTACTTCACTTGCCCATAGACAGATGGTTTGGAAGAGGAACTGTCATAATTTTTTTTACTAAAGGGGTCATCCATAAATGGCGTCTCGCTTTTTTGACGATTTTCACATCCCCCCCTCCCCTGCGTCACAAAAAGCCAGACACACTCCATAAAATGACGCCACACCTCAGCCTACAACCCCACTTAAAATAGCTGTTGAATTTTTCTTAAAACATCGTTATTTTTCAAAAATTTTGTCAGAACTCTGTCAACATAGAGTATTTTGATCAATTCCTATTACAATTTATTAAAACAGTTTTCTAAAACGCGAAATAAGGTCTAAAACTGATTTTCTAACCTTGCTTTTTTATAATGCAAAAAAGTGACGTCACACCACCTGAACGCTCCCCAACCCCGCCTCCCCCTCATCACACACCGTCACAAAATTACGGACCCCCCTCCCCCCTACGAGTGTGACGTCATTTATGGACGACCCCAAAAGGTAATTAGTACCTTGATGAATAAAAGATGATTACGTGTGGTCAATTCCATAGAAAAAACAGCGATAAGGTTAGGTCAGTTCTATAGATATTAGATAGATTAGATGTGGAGAGTTTTTTTTTTAATTGAGTGATTAGGTGAGGACAGTTCCATAGAAAATAGAGAGATTAGGTGAGGACAGTTCCATAGAAAATATAGAGATTAAGTATGGACAAGTTGCATAGAAAATAGAGAGATTAGCCTGATTAAGTGAGGTCAACTAAAGTGATGAAACAGCAACTAACATCAAGCGACGTCTAGTTACAGTAGAACACACGGCTCTTCTATGCTTGTCTTTTGACTGTCCTGTCAACATCTGCTGTTAAGTCAACACAAATCCTGCTTAAATCGATTTCTTCGAGGGATACGAAGTATTAAAACTAATCCGTCTACTATAGATAAAGATTAAGCTTGATTTTAGGCTTACTATAGTTTGCTTACTTGCAGATAGTACGAAGTTTGCATTGCATGTTAAGATTATAATCGAAAGCTGCCGTTCAAATAGTGACCTAGTAATTAAAATAACGAACATACATCATCAATAGATATTGACCAAATCATTACGATAACGAACGTATATCAGATATTGATATCACCATTAATAAAAATAACGTATATTACTGATAGATATTTACCTAACTATAATAAGTATGTCATCAAAAAATACATTTCTTATAAATTTGAATGTTAAAAGCTATATTTACTATAACAAGCGGGGTAATTCTGAACATAATGCCGGATCACCAACTCTTTTATCTAAGTTACGTCCCCTACATCAACACCTTATGTAAACAGGCTGTGTGTAAAACAAGTTGGAACTTTACAGACAAGACGAGCATAGATGAGGAACATAAACAAAACAGCGGCAGATAGAAAATGTTTTGCAATCAAATTTTAATTTTTCAAAAATTTCAAGTATAAACCGGATGACATATTATGAACAGAAAAAAATTGTTTCATAAAAAGGGAAAGAAGCTACAATACATTTTAAATGAATATTGTTTAATTTTATTTATCACCTCCCTTTGACATGTTTAGACGTAAAAGGTATATTGGATTTAATTTTGTGTTCATAAAACTAGCTTATTTTAAACCGGCATAACTAGACATTTATATAAATGTTTATTCTAAAAATAGGTCCAACGATACAACAAATTTTCTCATTATACAATAAAATACCCTACAAAAATTGTTACAATATTTCTTGTCACAACATTAGCAGTACAGAGCAGTACTTCTACCTAAACCACAACCCGCGCCTTAGATGGTGGGGCAGTCATAAAAATTAGGGGGTTACACGATATATGATAATTATGGTGACTAAGACAGGGGGTCACATGATATATGAGAATCATGGTGACTAAGACAGGGGGGTCACACGATATATGAAAATCATGGTGACTAAGACAGGGGGTTACAAGATATATGATAATTATGGTGACTAAGACAGGGGGTCACACGATGTATGAGAATCATGGTGACTAAGACAGTGGGTTACACGATATATGAGAATTATGGTGACTAAGGGGTTAAACGATATATGAGAATTATGGTGACTAAGACAGGGGGTCACACGATATATGAGAATTATGGTGACTAAGACAGGGGGTCACACGATATATGAGAATCATGGTGACTAAGACAGGGGGTTACAAGATATATGATAATTATGGTGACTAAGACAGGGGGTCACACGATGTATGAGAATCATGGTGACTAAGACAGTGGGTTACACGATATATGAGAATTATGGTGACTAAGACAGGGGGTCACACGATATATGAGAATTATGGTGACTAAGGCAGTGGGTTACACGATATATGAGAATTATGGTGACTAAGACAGGGGGTCGCACGATATACGAGAATCATGGTGACTAAGCCAGATCTATCCAAAAACACCTATCTAATACCGGCTAACGTGTCTGTGCTAATTACCTATCTATAATGGCTACAATAGAAACTAACAACTTCATTGATTTAGAATTCTGTTACATTGCAATTAGATTACACCCGGTAGGAGCTAGTAAAGTTGATAGAAAAGTGTAGATCACAACGAACCTATTACCAGTAATGGCAAAATATAAGATACAAATGGCTTCAGTATTTCATAGCGAGTCAAATGTTTACTTGTTTACATAATGTTCCAGTGTTCATTTTTCCTTGATGGCGACTAAGGCTTCAACATTTAGGTTCGAAATTTAGGAATTTCATTGAAGAATTTTAAAATTTGATCAGTATCTTTTTATGTACATAAAAAAAAGTTCAATGCTGTTTCTCAATTGTTTCCTTATCTTTACTTATTGCAAGTGAGATTATTTTAATTACAACACGTTTCGGATCCAAACAAAATAGAAATAAACCAAGGGATAGTGCAGACATTTTAATATTTTGTTGATTTGGATATGATTTTACAATTTTTTTTAATAAACTATTTTTGATCAACGAAATATCAACAGTCTTTTTTTAAAAAAAAAAACTTTATTGAAATAACAAATAAAATAATTATATGGCAGTTTGGCATTTTTGGTGTAAAATTAAAAAAAACAAACAGAAGTACGATTTAGGTTTAGTTAGATCTAGGTTAAAACTTAAACATTTCTAAATCAATTTCGCAAATGTCTTTTACGCTTGGCGAACTGTTTCTGCGCGACCATCATTTCTTTGGAGTCTGAAATTCTCGGGAACAAGTTGTTGTACGCCGCCCTCATCTCACGGGAGTCCTGGACTCCGTTCCTGCCCATAAAGCTGGCAATCTGGTTCCCGGGGGGTAATTTCCTTCGCTCTGATGACGTCTGCATGGACTTCGCCTCCCTAGAGGTCCCCCTGGACGATGCTCTCCGGCCGGTTTCCTTAGATGTCCTCTCGCCACTCCTCTGCCTAACTCCGGAATTGGAAGGGTTATGTTTCTTGTTCTTTACTTCCCGACTCGCTGTCCGCGCTGGACTGAGTTTTGGTGAATGTTTCTTTGTGTTTATTTTCGGGCTCAGCCTGTAGGATTCCTGATCCTCAATGAGGGCACCTCGAAACAGCGGGTCTGTTTTCTCCAGGTCCGTGTACAGCGCGCCAGCAGCATCCAGCTCGTCCTTTTCGTTCTCGGTTTTCTTCTTCTCGTTGCCGTGGTCTCCTCGGAAGAAAACATCGTCGTTGTTATCGGTGTTGTCCATGTCGTCAAAGCGTGCAGGTCCATTGGGCTCGTCCAAATCTGTGCCGCCAAACTGCGCTGACTCTCGCATGGTTTTGAACCTTCTTTCACTTTCGGTTTCAAAATCTTCCAGAGATCTCCGCCCTAGACTGGCCGAGCCTTTGAAAGCCGGAAGTTGGGCTTCCTCGTTCTCTAGGTCGTCAGCGACATCCGTGACTTCCTCCTCCGGCACTTCCTCTTCTGTCTGTTGGTAGGTCATGTAGCGACGTGCGAACTCTGTGCTAGTCATGGTTATACTTCTGCAAAGTTAAAACAGAGATGGTGTCAAAAGAAGAGCTCTAATTCACTTCTCAGCTAAACATCCAGATTTGTAGCTTTAGGAGTATTGACATGTCGCAAATAGAGTACTCGATACTAAATTTGAAATTATCGAGTTAGTTGCGGGTTCGAATCCAACGAGTACCTGACACGAAATGAGGTAAGTGAAACCCATAGGTGATTGAGCTCACCAAACAATTCAATATGCCGATTCAAAGACCCACATGAAATCTACTTCATCTACCCTATGGTCAGAAAGTTTATTTTATTTTTCCGTCTTTAAAAGCATTTATTTTTATTGCTAATTACACTACTTAAACATCAAAACATTTAAACCTACCATTGGCTTACATTAACATTCCATGGTTTTTTTTTTTTTACTTCTTTACTTTAACATTCGAACAATTTAGAATATAAAGTAGCAATCTTGGCTTTGAAATTAGACTATAGATAAATCTATTTAAATAACAACACCTATCTCACACCCCTCTACCCTTTTCAAATAGAAGCCTCAATATACTTTATATTCAACTGAGCTTAAGAACTCTACAGGGCTAACAAGCTTACATTTGAGCGTTTTCAATGCAGCACAATTTGTATTTCTTCTCGCACATCTTGGAGCCCTGGCCCATGAGAGCCTCTGTAACAAACTTTCGGGCCCGGTCGGCACACTCCAGGTCTGCTTGAGGTTTGGTGTAGACCGTGACGGTAGTTCCCTGGGTGGATCCGAACTCACAACATCTCTCCATCATCCGGATCTTCTGCAACGTTGTTAGCTCTGAAAGATCATCAACAATCAGTGGTGATTTTATGAATCAACTTAAGGTTATGTTGAATGATTATCAACAAATAATGATGATCTGTTGAAGATCATCAATAAAGTATGATGATCTTTTAAAAAATATGAAAAGTTGTAACGAGACTTGCGTGAGATATCATCATTAGAGTTTGACATATGAAAGAGTTACGAATTACGTTTGGTCTTTGTAATCGTTTTAGTATATAGGAACCTGATATTGTACAACTACAAATAGTATACATTTGATCTAAGATTCTGGGTTTAAATGCATGAAGAGTAAAGACTCCATATCAATGGTTATGTGGTTACTTACTTCGGCTTGCGCCTGGTCTGTTTGAGGTGGACGTGGACTCTCCCCCTTGACCTCTCGTCCTATCCATCTGCTCCCTAGACCCGGTCCTGATGTCCTTCTCCTGACTCGCCCTCAAGGGTTTCTTCCCCTTGGACCTTTGTCTACCAGATCTACCACCATCCACCCTCTCTTCCGGTGCCTCAGCCTCTCTCGACGCTCCTGGTTTGACCTTTCCGGAATCGAATTGTGTTACCTCCTTTTGCGCGCTGGAAACTCGATCACGTTGAGATTTTGGTGGATGTTTTTGCCCCTCCGTTTCACGCATGTCTGTAGCTTCCGCTTCCTTACTGTTCCCATATTTCCTGACCGGCTTTTTCAGTTCACCGGATATCTCATCTTTATCTTTAGCGTTACCCCGTTGTCGCTCTTTGTTCACTGAGAGTTGCTTGTAGCCAGGTTTACCCACCTCTTCTTTGCTGGTTTTCACATCTTGACCTACATTGTCATTAAAAACTTCTTCACCGTTGCCCTCAGGTTGCGTCCCTTCAACAATTTTATCTTCGTTTTCATCCTCATTTTCATCAGAATTTTCCTCGGTAGCCTCTGCTTTCTTTTGGAATACAACATTTCGGAGGAGATTCAATATGGATGCGTCCTAGAAATAAAAAACAAGAAATGTGGCAAATTACATTGAACACAGAATAAACTGTCTTTCATGTACACCATTTGAAAGAGAATAAACGCTGTTTCATACCGTCTCAAAAGCGAAAATATGGAGGTCGTTGAGTGGGTTGGTATCATCGTCTGAGAATTGTAGAATGTGACGCCGTCTGCTAATCGTATGTTCGGATGGCTCACCAAAACAGTCGTAGCTCATGGAACCTGGGAATAGAGTTCACATTGGAGGTGAGTAATACATCATATGGAGCACACATAGTAGACATGTCACGTAACATAGAGTCCCAGTACTACAGTATGTCGAGCACACATAGAAGACATGTCCCCTAACATAGGCCCAGTACTACAACATATGGAGCACACATAGAAGACATGTCCCCTAACATAGGCCCAGTACTACAACATATGTAGGAAACAAAATGACTATTTCACAAGCAAACATGATTTACTAAAACAGGTGGAAGATACAGATGACCCCAAGTTATCGTCTAATATTATCAAGTATCTAGCATCAAATGAGATAATACAAGACACAGATAATATTATCAAGTATCTATCATAAAATGAGATAATTCAGGACATAGATTATATTATCAATTATCTAGCATCAGATGAGACCAATCAGGCCATACTTAGAACCAGTTGATGACAGCAGTAAGCCTCCCTGTTGCGTAAGTGCAACAGATTGTTGTGATTGAAAGGATTGGGCAGATCTCCTGACCTACAGATGCCATCCACGCGGTACATTCCGGTCACTTTCAAGCACTCGGCCTTTTCGCTGATTGTGTTCTGCAAATGAAATCACTCGCAACATTCATCAAACTTTACACACATTTTAATTATCTTAATTTTTTACCAGTCTAAAATGTGTTGTTTTTTTATGATTAAATTAAGATCACCAACCCACGTTTTGACCCGGTGTCACCTCGACCTACAACCTCATGTTACCAACCCACCTCCTAACCCATATCACCAATTCACGTTATGATCCAAATATCACCAAGACATTTTTAAACCGTGTGTCACCATCACACATCCTGACAGTGTCACCAACCCACAACTCAACCCCGTGTTACCGCCGCACCATCAGACCCCGTGTCACCCCCTGACCCCTTTGTCACCACCCCAGCCCCTTAAGCCGTATCACCAACCCACCTCATAAACCCCTGACTCCATATTACCACCTGACCCCCTGATCCCTGTGTCACCACCCCAGCCCCTGAAGCCTCATAAGCCCTTGACCCCTGTGTCACCACCTTACCACCTGGCCATTGTGTCACCACCTGACCCTCTGACCCTTGTTTCACGAGCTGACTCCCTGACCCTTGTGTCACCACCTGACCTCCTGACCCTTGTGTCACGACCTGACCCCTGTGTCACCACCTGACCCCCTGACCCTTGTGTCACGACCTGACCCCCTGACCCCTGTGCCAGCAACCCACCTTGTAGCAGCACTGTTCGTTGTCAAACCTCCGTCCCTCCAACTCCATTTTCAGGTGATACTTGGGTCCGTCGCTCGACAGGTCAGGCTTGTATGACTTGATGAACTCCGGGTTGTTAAAGATGGCATCAACATCGTGAAGGCCATTGGCCGCACACAGAGCGTTGATGTAGTTTTCTTGGCTCGTCTAAAGGAAACAAATATAGACGTGAGGTCATAAAGTACTCACTAGAAGTGACGTCATAAAGTACTCACTAGACGTGTCGTCATACTTAAAGTACTCATTAGAGGTGACGTCATACTTGAGGCACACGTAGGACGTGACGTCGTAAAGAAAGTACAAAGTAAAGTGACGTCGTGAAAATAGTAGGCTACAGGATAATCGTGACGTCATGGAGAAAGTACAGTGTGTATCTCACCTGTCTCTCCACACACACTTGTTGGGACAGAAGACCATTTGTTTCTTTGGTGTCATCCCAGAAGTAGCCGTTAGCCTTGTCAGTCACCACAGCTCTGTGGGCATTTACAGTAGTTTACAACACAATTATAACATTTACAGTAGTTTACAACACAATTATAACATTTACAGAAATTTATAATACGATTATAACATTTACAGCAGTTTCTAACACAATTATAACATTTACAGCAGTTTACAACACAATTATAACATTTACAGCAGTTTATAACACAATTATAACATTCACGGCAGTATATAACACAATTATAACATTTATATTTACATCAGTTTACAAAACAATTATAATATTTTTAGCAGTTTACAACACAATTATAACATTTTAAAAAATTGTACACGTTGTTCCTATGTAATACACATGAGCTTTTTGTTCACATTTGACACAGCAATATACAAATACACTTTTAAACACCGTTCACAACATTTACAACACAAGTACAGTAATATCTTCTTCCTCTAAGTTCTTAATGTAACACTATACAGTAATAAACCAACTAATATAAATTCGTACACGAACTTCTCAGTGGGCCCCCCCCCCCCCCCATCACAACCCATACTTCAAATTCTCTCACAGATCAAACTTTTTTCTGTGTTGGAGTTTTAGGAGCCAGTCTCTCTTTTTCTGAAATGTGAGGTCTAAATTGTTTGGTATCAGCTTTGATATTTTTGCTCAATGTATTGAGATCCTGTGATAGTCTAATTGTTTGGTACTAACTCTCATATTTCGGCTTATCTTATTATATAAAAAAACCCATTGAAATCCTCCTGACTTACCTAAACTGAACACACCCACAAAATGGCGGCGTCCACATCAGCTGCGGCAGATGTTTATGAGTGCCGTGGGCCGTGGTCCTCAGATACTCTGGACAGTTCCCCTGTCTGGCACCGTGCGTGTAGTTCCCCTGCTTGAACTGGAATCTTCCAGACCCGCAGCCCTCGTCAGTCGGCTCGACGAAGATCGTTACATTGCTGAACTTTGTGCTCTTGTGGACTGATATTAGGACTGGGAATAGGTAATTAGACTGTAGCTAGTCATTGTTGCTAAACAGAGCCAAATGGTTATCCGAGGTGGATTGAGGTTAGATGAGGAAAGACTGGGAAAAGGCGATTAGACTGCAGCTAGTCATTGTTGCTAAACAGAGCCAAATGGTTATCCGAGGTGAAGAGGGATTGGGAAAAGGCGATTAGACTGTAGCTAGTCATTGTTGCTTAACAGAGCCATTCTGTCATGTGTGGTGTTTATCAATATCTTAGTGTATGTAATGTGTGGGTGCTTATAAATATCTTAGGTTGTGAATGTCAGTGTGTGTGGGTGGGTGGAGGGCAAAATCCTAGTAATGTTGTAGGACAATAGGTGGTTGATCTGATGGGTACTTGAATCGCGTTAGGATTAGAAGAGGCAGATGAGTATAGTGCTGAGGTTAATAAAACTGGTAAACTCTACTTCTCCTACCACACGGCATCGGACATGTCTTGCAAGAGACGGTTTATTTCATTTTTAGCTAAGACGGCTAGTAAAGGAAGGTATGACTAAAAACATGAATTTGTCTTATAACTGACAGGTTACATAAGAGAAGGTAGGAATTGGTCTTATATTACTTACAACTAACATGTCCCATAAAAGAGCTTATATAATTGTCATATGATTTACATGTCTTATAATAAAGGATATATAATTAGGTTATTTGATCAACATGTCCGATTGGAGAGGATATATAATTTGTTCGTATGATTTACATATCATATAACAGAGGATATATAATTTGGTTATATAATCAACATCTCTTATAACAGAGGATATATAATTTGGTTATATAATCAACATGTCTTGAACTTACCCCCGTAGTCAGTGCTTCCATCGTGTTCCTTAAACTCCAGGCTAAACAAAGGACTCCGGTCACTTTTGCTGAGTCTGTTTTTACTGCGGGACACAGAGGGTGAAGTTGGGGGGCTCGGGCAGGTATCCCCTGGGGTGGTGTACACGCTCCCTGTGTGGTCAGAAATAGTATAATTAATTAAAGTTCATTGCTGATTATTAATGATTAGTTTTAATTACAACAGTGTCACTATTTCAACGAATATCTCGTAAAGTGATTTTTTTTTCTTGCTATACAATTTATAAACACAATCGCACTAAGATGCTAGCCGTTATCATCTAGAAAGATGTGTACCCTTCACACCCTACCCCCATCCCCCCACCCCCCTATAGTCACGTCGCGTCAACCAAAAGACAGACCTTACACTAAAATGCTGTCTCACTTCAGCCTTTGACTTAAAATTGCTGTTTTTGTTGTTTGATTTAAAAAATTTTTTTACTGATCAACCAAATAGGATGATGACATCCAACGTTATGCTTTAGAGTCGGACTGTATTAGGGTATAACACCGTGTCGAAGATTTGCTTACACTGACTGAGATTATCAGCGTCAACCATTTGATAAAACTAATTATTTAAGTCATAGCCATCTTAAAATATACTGCGACGCCATCTGATAACAGGATGACATGATAATTCGGATGCTTTTTAGTAGGCCTACATATATATATATATATATATATATATATATATATATATATATATATATATATATATATATATATATATATATATATATAAGTAAAGTAAAGTAAAGTTTCCCTTTCAAACCTGACGGTCTATGGGGCAAGTGAAGTAGAGTTCACTTGTTTCTGTGACCACGGCATATGAAGAGATAGTGTGGTCAGCACTATGCCCAGTCGCCATTACTTTCCCTAACGTGAGTTAGGTACCCATCAGAGTTGGGCGGACTCAGGCAGTGGCGTAGCGAGGGGGGGGGGGCGGGGGGGGGGACATATGTCCCCGGGCGCCGACCTTAGGGGGGGGCGCCAAATTGAAAGTTTGAGCGGGGTGCAAATGAAAAGTTCGAGGGGGGGGGGTGCAAATCGAAAGTTTGAGGGGGGGGGGGTGCAAATGAAAAGTTCGAGGGGGGGGGGTGCAAATCGCCAAATTGAAAGTATGTCCCCGGGCGCCGGGAAGGGTCGCTACGCCTCTGGACTCAGGGACGGTTTACTGACTTATATATATATATATCGTTTTTATATATTCGGTCTGTTGCATGTTAGCCACTATGCGAAACCGTTTAGAAAAAAAAATGTTTAAAATATTTCTCGAAACACTCACCACAGACGAGTGAGATGACCATCAACAGATCTCTTAGAGTTCTCATGGCTAGGCTGATGTCTTCCTATAGCAACGTCTTGACACGACCTAATGAAAACTTTTAACGCGGAGAGTCTTGGTCCGCTGGCACTTACAGCACTGGCAGAAGACGACCGAGTTCTAGACCTGCCTGTCCCACACTGGAGTCCCCCGTCAGCCACCCTCCCCCCCGGTGTGTACGACCCCAACTGTACACCCACCCCCAGGTGTACACCCACCCCCAGGTGTACACAACGTGCTTTTGACGTGCGGGGACGCTGGGTCTCTGTGACCCGTGCAGTAGTGAAGGCCATTGAAAGCCGCGGGTAAAAAAGATTTCACTCGTGTACGCTCCGTCCCCGCCCCTACACATTATAAAAAGTTATTTCCCCTGAAGAACTAAATACCACTCTAAAGCTTTTAAAAAATGTTATCAAAGTGTTGTTCGTCCTTATTTTTTCTTCTTTAAACAACCACTTTGACTTAGGACGGGTTATCTTTTCACTGAGCTACCATCTTAACCTAATTTTAAGTGCAACTGCTACCTTGTCAAAAACAGCCAAATCCCTGTATTACAGTTACTGGGTGTAGATTTTAGCCCAGCTTTAGCATCTAACGTTTTTTTTTTTTCTTAAAGGACAAAATCTTTTAATGAAAATCGAAGACGCGAGACGGTTTCCTGTTATCTGTTGTGAATGTACGATAAAAATCACTCAACCGTAGGTTACTACATGTAGCAATGTGGGCGGGGGGGGGGGGGGTTGAGGAGAAACGAAGAAATAATAGAAAGGATAGTCTAGATTCGGTAGCGTAGCCTAACCTGACCCCACTTCCTGTCACCGAGTTTTCAATTATACGAGGCTTAACTTAGATCACTGATGTTCATGGAAGTCTTGGTCAGAGATTTATTTATACAGGTCAAACTAAACAAGTCACATTAAAACATTCAAGCATTTATGGATCGGAGACATTTTTATGTTACGTAGAGACGGACTTTTTAAAAATACCCAGTACCACATACGACGTACCATGACGTTATGTAACCTATAGATTATGCAATAATGCTGACTGCGTTGTGTACTAAAATAGACTATGTCAATACTCTAATGTAGGCAGTGGCGTAGCGAGGTCGGGTGTCACCCGGTGCGGCACTTAATGGTGTCACCCCCCAGAGGCGTAGCGACCTTTCTCGGGGACAAACTTTCAAGTTTTCGATTTGCACCCTCCCCCCTCCCTCAAACATTCGATTTGAACCCCCCCTCAAGTTTTTCTCTTTATATTTTGCTATTTTTTGCCATGGTGTCACCCCCCTAAATGGTGTCACCCGGTGCGGTCCGCACCCCCGCCCCGCCCCCTCGCTACGCCCCTGAATGTAGGCCTCTATATTATCGAATGCTTTAATTTAATTTAGATCATAATCCTCGTTTTACAAATACAAGTTATTCATCATCTCATCTTTTACCGTTCGTGCTCAAGACACATGGGGCAGATGAAGTAGAGTTCATCTGCTTCAGAGACCTCGGCATGTGAAGGGATAGTTTGGTCAGCACTTTGCCCAGCAGACTTTGTTTTCCCTATCGTGAGTTAGGTACCTATCAGAGCTGGGTGGACTCAGGGACGGTCTACTGATTTGAACCCGGGTTAGCAGTCCAGCTCTCTATCGCTAGGCCACGCGGTCCCATGTACACGTAATTACGTGTCTCATTTCTAGTCGAATACCTTTCACAGAGTGTAAATAATGTTGACTAGACAATATGTTGATGGTCTATTTTATTATTCACACGCAAACACATACATTGACACATACAAAGACGCACACACAAACAAACACAAGAAGCGCGCATAGATACACACACACACTTAGACCCACACACAAACACACTTCCATATAACACACACAAACACACCCATGTACACGTAATTACGTGTCTCATTTCTAGACGAATACCTTTCACAAGAAGCGCGCATACATATACACACACACACTTAGACACACACAAACACGCCTCCCTATCACACACACAAACACACCTTCCTATCGCACGTAACACAGTCTAAAAATTCTTTACTACTACAAACCAGTTAAATTATTGCACCATTCCCACCTTGACTAATATAATAAAATCAATCATTGATGTAAAGTTGTCGTACTCATTAAAAGTCTTTTGTCTTCAGTGTACGACGGCTGGTGCTTCTATACTGGCTTATCAGGAACGATTACCTTTACCGTTTCTAACATTACACTCGAAACATTAGTATAAAATCAATTATGTTCTATGGCGTGGCTTTTGTAACACCAGTTAGAACATTGGACAAGCACACCTGAATGTATCGAATTTTGTACAGTGGGATTTCCCATATTTTTGTGTGTTCGGGTTTTAGCAATAGTGGTATGTCATGGTTGAGTGTTAGGATCAGAAGTGAGTTAGGTTCGCAATAGAACCTGGTCATTTACACCTCTTCATAATCCCTGCAATTAACGCCCCATCATTCCATCCCTCCCCCCACCCCAACTTCATGTATCTGATTTCCCCCATAGTGGTTACCTTCCTACCCCCTCCCACCTATATAATTTAAAATAAGTAATGGTAAGAACAATAAATTATAAAACAGTTATAGAGTTCAAAATTTATATGTTAAATTTTGTTAGTGCGTATGACTATATGTCTGTATGTTTGTGTATGTGCGTCAGGCGACAGGTGTATCACACAGCTGTCTACAATATTTGACCTCGCCCTGGAGAAAAAAACATTTTGCTTACAGGCATCTTACAAGACTGACTATCATACAACCCACCAGCCCTGTGAAATACATACTGACACAACCCGCCAACCCCAGCCCTAGACGCAGCAGCAGAGCAGACAACAACCAGCGGGTTGCAGACGACGTGACCCAGATAACTGAGAGATCACCTTGTGACAACCTGACGGACGGCACTTCTTGTCGGGCGAGTGGCATCGGTTCCAGTTGACTTAACATGGAGGAGCTGTTGTAGAGGGGCGCAGGTAGGGGTGGGGTAGTGCGGCGCAGGCAGAGGTGGGGTAGAGGGGTGCAGGTAGGGGTGGGGTAGAGGTTCGCAGGCAGGGGTGGGATAGAGGGGCGCAGGCGGTGGGGAGATGTAGAACGACGCAGGCCGCATTAAAATTTTATTTTGGGACAGTTTTTATTTTGAGATAAAGTCGAAACATTCCAACCTTCCAGTACGTTCGGGGTCTTTACCACGAGTATACGTGTACTTATATGAATATATATATATATATATATATATATATATATATATATATATATATATATATATATATATATATATATATATATATATACTAGCTTATACCCGTGCTTCGCTACGGTAATAGATGTGGTGGTTGTAGTTTATATATGTATATATATATATATATATATATATATATATATATATATATATATATATATATATATATAATCTTAACTACACAAAATAAATTTCAATGCAAGTAACGATTTTCTCTGGGCAAACCTCCCAACCTGTTCCACAGATCGCACTGACAATACACTTCCGATTCTGCACTTAGTTTTCCGACCAATACTTGATTGGTGCAATTATGGTTTTAAATTATACTGACAATTGGTTCGTAGGAATTATTTAGTTCTGATCAATACATTGATAGGACTCAGACTCATTTCATTCGATCTCTGAAACATTACAATTTGAATAGTTTTGTTGTATCAATGTCAAGGCTTGGTGTGGTTCGAGCATAAATCTGACCATACACCATCATTTTCGAGTTGACAGTAACCTTGAACACTGTTTTACCTGAGGCTGTTACTTTATTTAATAATTTAAAGAACTGAGAGGGGAATAACTCATATTGATATTACTTTTTACATAATTCTCAGCTGTTTTGCCCTTGTTTACATCATCCAAATTCATACTTTATATTCACCATCCAAGATGTAAAAAAAAATGCTTCAATTACCAGACAACCACATTACTACTATTTTAACATTTATTTTTCCAACTTCAAAGTGTATAAATTGGTTTTATACAAAAAACTTTATATCGAGATTTTAAAATTCAAACCAAACGAAGACTAACTTGAATCGGAAATGCTGAGACAATCCATTTTAATCTTCCTCACACGAAAGCTGGCTGAGTCATCGCCCCTTACCAAATTGTTCATTTCTTGAAGTAAAATGTATATATTTAGCCTCTAGTTTTCTTGGTGCATGTCAAGAATATCTTCCTGTATGTGTTGGCGAACTTTGAACTTGTCTGGACGTAGATGAAGAAGTTGATGGAAGCGTTAAGCTGAGGGCCAGTAACTCTAGCCACGAAGGTGAATACCATCTGGCTGGAGATGGAGAACGGCTGGTAGTCCGTGTACACAATGTACCAGGACGTGACGTTGGTGGGGATCAGAACCAGCACCATCATACACACGCACAACGAGAGCGTGATTTTAATAGCGCGGACGTCCATGACTCGCTTCTTGTGTGCTGCAGAGGACATGCCGGCCACCTTTCTCATCGAGGTCTTCAGCTTAGCCACAATCAAGATGGCGCTGGTCATGATTAACAAGATAGGGAAACCGATGAACACGATGTTTAAGAAGACATTGTTATACATGTACACAAACTTTTCGTTATCTAAATAAAACTGACTAAATGCAGGAATATAATATGTGTAGTTTGTCACTGTGTCGGGAAGAATTAACAAGTCGTGTGTTAAATATTCAAGACAGTACAAAGGCGGACATACAAGGAAAACAAAGACTAAACTTACAGTTATTCTAGTCGGAGTTATAATTAAAGCTGCTTTAAATGGAAATACAACCGCCACCATTCTCTCCATAGCTATGATAACGACGCAATAGACGCTGGTCGATAGAAAGGCATTGTTCCATAACTGTAGATAAAGGCTGATGTAGATGGAGATGATACTGTACAGATCGATGCTGAACGGGTAGATGAAGTGCTCGACACAGAAGACGACACCAAGGAGAGAGTAGAGAAGATCGGACACAGCGAGCGAGGCCAGGAGAAGGTTCGTCGTGTCCTTGAACCCGTGGTGCTTGAGGACAACAATGGTGAGGCAGTTACCGGAAATGCCCATCACACACAGCACGGGCATGATGACGTTGTAGGTGAGTACTCGCAGGATCTCCACAGCGTCATCTGATACGTCATAGATTCCATCATGGCTCCCCCTGGGCTCAAAGTCTGAGACCAGAGAATCGTTTGAGATTAACTCCGTGAGATCCTTTAAATTTTTATTCATAGCTTTCAGATAGTGGAGTAAATCGTTATCCTCTCAGAAAATAAATTAAGAAATAAAATCAATCGATCAAGTATATATAACATTCACCAGATCGTACTTTGAATAAACAGTTTACTACTTGTGTCAATTATTCTCGCTAGTGTTCCAACTGTTAGCTCAAATTTTAACAAAGACTTGGGTACAGTTGTGAAAATCCTTAAATCGATACTCATATACGGAACATTTTGAGCAAAACTATACTATCACTGACTGAAGCGTATTGTTTAGAAGTCTCTTCTATGTTGGATATTAGATTAACTTTCGTGTATAAAATTGATAAAAATGCTCTAAGCTTAGAGAAAATATAATATTTAACGGGACAATTTAGCGACAAATATCTGAAATAGAATTCAGAATTCATTCAATGTCAATAAGACTGATCAAATAAAAGTAATGTAAAATACAAGAGATCAGCATGATAAGCTTTAACTATTGTAGCAAACGTATCTGTAAGTGTATCAGTAGCAGAACAGAGAACTGATCATGTCCTAAGAATATCTAACAGATCTGCAATGTGAAAATAAAATAAAACTTACGCAATAGATAATACATTTAAAAATATGTTTTCTTAAGGTTTGATACTGGGATTTTGTCTGTATAAAATATAATTAGAAAAAGTCGAAGTGATTCCTGGAGGTAATATCTGTAAAATAATTTTCATTCATTAAAATCTTATACCGCTACCCCCCCCCCCCCCCCCAACCTCGCCAATCAATAGCGCCGTCAATCAATTCAATTTACCGCCAGCGAAATTTTCTAGAATTAAAGAAAAAGATTGTTTATGAAATGTTTTCTGATGTTTAAGTCAGGAATAGGTAAACGGTTCAGCCGTTTCACCGAGCGAGATTGGTAAGTGGTTAAACTGATACACAGAGCCAGATTGGTAAGTGGTTTAGCGTTATACAGAGCGAGATTGACAAGATGATGCAGCTAATTTATGACGGTTGACCTTGCTGTGTTTTAAATTGTCGTCCTGAATATGTTACGCTACAATAATGTGTGTAGTTAAATCGGTAACAAATTATCGAGTTTTTTGTTCAATAAATTTTAGTTCACTTAGGTCCTTAGAGCGTATGATTATTTCAAATGGTAGAAGATTTAAAAATGAAATCTTTTAACTCTTTACTCGATACATTTATGACCATCTCACAATAATATTTTACCTAATTCTGTAATTGTGAATAAATCTATAAGAAAAAGAATTGAAAGGTCATTACCACGATTCGTGTACAATTCTTATTCATTGTGTATTGTGTTTTTTTATTAGACATTCCCGCACTTAAAGTAAATGACACCCGCGGGGCTATCGAGTCAGATGTTGTAAACTGAAGGCAGACAAAGAGACGATCTCTATTGTGTTATAGTTAAGATGTTTGAACTCACACTGATGTTTAAACTCATGTCGCCATTCAAAAGTATCACTCACGCTGATTTACGATGAACATGACAACAAACCAATAAGCAACTTTAAAAGCTGTCAAACAGATTCATGTACATAAATCGGTTTTATATAATGAAGGCGACAATACGGCTACAAGTTTTTTTTAACGAGGTCCATTTTTAGGACCAACAATCTCTTCTGATTGTGCTCTGCCAATAAATACAACTCTATAACTCGTGTTCCTATATCGGTTATTACCTTGATCGACCTAAAATTTGGCGGGAGTGCCTTTGAATTTAACATGTTTCGCAGCCACAAAACGGTGTTTCTCGTTTGGTCTGTTGAAAGAAATATAAATAAATATGTACTTTATTAATTGGCCGCTGTTCTGCTAGTGTTAGTATACATTGCTTTGATGTTGAGTATAGCGTGTTGGAACTTGTAGACAGCTATACATTGCTTTGATGTTGAGTATAGGGTGTGGGAAGGTGTAGACAGCTATACAGCTATATATGGCTTTGATGTTGAGTATAGCGTGTGGGAAGTTCTAGACAGCTATACATTGCTTTGATGTTGAGTATAGCGTGTTGGAAGTTGTAGACAGCTATACAGCTATACATTTCTTTGATGTTGAGTATAGCGTGTGGTAAGTTTTAGACAGCTATACATGTCTTTGATGTTGAGTATAGCGTGTGGGAAGTTGTAGACAAGCATTCAGACTGTGTGGAAACGAGGAAACGTTTCACTAAAATAAAAGTTAAAGACAAAATGACTGGAAATATTTTAATCAAGTAAACATTTCATTAAAATAGTAAAATTAAAAAATATTAAAATACTAAAACAAGACAACTGTGTATTACATAATATTAAACATTTGGTTTCAGTCATCGCAAAACCATATAGTCGACGTGAACGACAATGAAAGGAACATTACATACTTTGTTATTTGTTTCATTTCATCTCTCTGAACAAGGTCCCAAGACAGCTTGGTTTCTCAAAGTCAGGATTACAATGGATTTTAGCTTGGAGGAAGCAGGTCAGACCAACGTTAATATAACACTCTACATCAATATCCTAACAAATGTAATCTACATCAATATCCGAACAAATGTAATCTACTTCAATATCCGAACAAATGTAATCTACATCAATATCCCAACAAATGTAATCTACTTCAATATCCGAATAAATGTAATCTACATCAATATCCCAACAAATGTAATCTACTTCAATATCCGAACAAATGTAATCTACATCAATATCCCAACAAATGTAATCTACTTCAATATCCGAACAAATGTAATCTACTTCAATATCCGAACAAATGTTATTATTTATGTGTTTCGAATAATAATTATAATTAATTAGTATTCCAAGCAGAGCTAATTAGACACAAATTTGAGATGTTGTGTGTTACTTGTGGTTACTCAGCATATATATGTAATATTATGTATAACCACTGTTAGGTTTTGCAGTTTTAATACACATACCGTACTCGTTTAAATTACTACGAAGTCTTTTTCCATTCATATTACAGTCTATACGTCCTATTCAAATATTAATATTGTGCTTTCAATTTGCTAGGCAGGTAAATGATTTTACCATGTGCAATGTTTGATGATTCATAAAAATCAACAAGTTATTTCGATTTGTGCTCAAGGAATAATCGGCACTATTAGCAGAACATCTCTTAGACGAATCAGAGTTTTTCCACATATATATGATAGTATACACTATGTAACTAAATGTAACTTGCACTTAATCACAGATATGTGCTACATTATGTTACCTATGATTTGTTGTTCAGGTTTATGAAGTGTTTGACATTGACAACAACGGCTAGCCTTGTTGTTAACAGTTGTAGCTAGCAGCTCCACTATTGGAGGTTAAACGTAAAAATGTGCTAAAACTAGAGTCACATTTATCCCAGTACTACAACTAGAGTCACATTTATCCCAGTACTAAAACTAGTGTCACATTTATCCCAATACTAAAACTAGAGTCACATTTATCCCAGTACTACAACTAGAGTCACATTTATCCCAGTACTACAACTAGAGTCACATTTATCCCAGTACTACAACTAGAGTCACATTTATCCCAGTACTACAACTAGAGTCACATTTATCCCAGTACTAAAACTAGAGTCACATTTATCCCAGTACTACAACTAGAGTCACATTTATCCCAGTACAACAACTAGTCACATTTATCCCAGTACTACAACTAGAGTCACATTTATCCCAGTACTAAAACTAGAGTCACTTTTATCCCAGTACTAAAACTATAGTCACATTTATCCCACTACTAAAACTAGAGTCACATTTATCCCAGTACTAAAACTAGAGTCACATTTATCCCAGTTCTAAAACTAGAGTCACATTTATCGTTGGAACAGTCTCTTTTACGATATGATACATAGTTGGATTATACGTTTCTTAGAATAAGGTATTACAAGTGATATTGAAATAGCAAATTATCAAAAAACTTTATTATACCAACTGGAATACAACATGGGTGTTTCGTTGACTGGTGGATATTATAACGAAACAAACTAGAGAAAACTAACTGAAATCTAACGGACACAACAGCTAGCTCGAAGTCTTGGATTTCGCAGATCTGCGCTGCCTTCTCGAACATAGTCAACAACAAAATATGCAGAAAAAAATTGAAATTGTTGAAGAAAACCGGATGTTTAATGATAATTGCACCGCCCATAACGTTCTGATTAGAATCAGCAGCAACAAAACGCGTTTTAACATTTTAAGCCAATGTGGAATTCAAATGCATTGTAAAAAAAACTCGGATCTATAGCTAAATGTGAAGAAATGGACGGCCGTTAGCGCTAGATTAATTAGCAGTGTTTCTTCCAGACTTTTTTCTCCGGGGGGGGGGACACTTGAAATTTTCGGGGGGGGGGAGGAGGAGGGCGGTAGACTTTCTTCAGGGGGGGGGGGCGGGGGGGGCGGACACTGTTAAAAGTATATATTTTCTATATACATTATATAAATTTCATTTCGTTCGGAGGGGCGGTAGAAGAGATGCCTGGAAGAAACTCTGTTTATTAGTGAGGCCTTTACAGCTAAATTAATTAGTGGGGCTGTTACAGCTAGATTAATTATAATTAGTTAGCTTACTATATTAGAATTAAAATATATTATTTTAGGCATATAGGCTTTAAGTAAACCACGTACAAGCAGAAACTAATTAAATCTTGTTTGTTTTTACATGTTCTGTGATTTTTTAGGTGATTTTTGTTTGTTAATTTTTTAAAAAAATTGCTTTTACTTTTCCATGACTATTTAACTGGTATAAACAGAATACATTATATATATATTTAATTTATTATAATCTGTAAAATAAATTGTGGTGCCCAAAACTAATTGGGGCCTTCAAACAACTGCTTTATTACCCCCCCCTCCCCCCCCCCCTTGAATCCCACACTGGCTTAGTATGTGTGTTCATTTGTATTTGTGTTTGATTGCAAGTGTGTCTGAGTGCGTAGGTGCAAGATTGCGATGTGTGTTTGTGTGTGTGTGTGTGTTGTGTTTGTATTTGTTCGTAAATCAGCCATAAAAATGTTTGCGTCTGTATTTAATCAAACAGGGATTTGACAGAAAGCTCTATTAATTCTTTTGCTTTAATTACACATGTATGCAGGTTATTTCATTTATATCACGAACTGGATTCAAAGGGAATAACATAACATTCTTTCTAATAATAAACTGATTTATATTTAATGATCGCTTGCTCATTAGCAGTGTAGCTATAAGCCAACCAGAGTTAAGTTATGAAAAATATTAAAAATTTAATAAAAAAACTGTACTGGAATTTATTAAACAATGTTTTATTAGAACAAATTGACGTTTTACTGTTGTTGCTCATCTGACAAAACAAATATTATTTTTAAAGATTTACAAGCAACACTAATTTTTACAAAACTCATAAATCAGTTTATTATAAGTTTATTATTACCACCGTCTACTACGTCATTGTTAATACTAGCTATAACGGCCGTCCACTTCGTTTTTTGTAAATTACAATTAATAAATCTTCTGTGTAACAATTAAAATGAGATATAACATTGAATAGAACATTTTACAATTAATCCAAACACTTAATTAAACTTCTGAATAATTAATTAAAATTCCACAGCGAGAAAATAGAGCAAGTATTAATTTAAAAGGTCTAGCCGGTCGATAAATGATACGTGTCGTACTACCATTGATGTCTTTTTAATGTAAGCTTAGCATACATAGGCGGATCCAAATGATAAGTAAGTGGGTGGCTTAGCGAATAACCGGCGTCAGGGGCTCGCCTGTTTTGACCCATACAGACATAGGAGTTAAATAAAAGCTATTAAAAATATACAACTATCAAAACAAAATCTTTTATGTTTGTGCTAAACTGAGACAGAAATAACATTTGTGAAGTGAATTCCATCAGTTTCCAAATGTATTCTAAATTTTAAAATTAATATAAAGACGTAAATTTTATAATGTTATTTTTGACTGATCTCCATTTTCCTTTCAATGAATAATTTCAAGGTGTTTTGAATAAATATTTGTGGTATTTATTTTTTTTTTTTTGCAATTAAAACAATTAAAACATCGATTAAGAAGATCTCACAAAACCTTTATTAAACCAGAATCAGCATATCTACATACAGAACTATCAAATTTACCGGGGCGAACTATCAAATTTACGCCCCCTTCCCTCACTATATTAGCTGGTAGCAGCATACATGATTACATTCGTGGGTAGCTACATACATGATTACATTCGTGGGTAGCAACATACATGATGATATTCGAGGGTAGCAACATACATGATTACATTCATGGGTAGCAACATACATGAATACATTCGTGGGTAGCACCATACATGATTACATTCATGGGTAGCTACATACATGATTACATTCGTGGGTAGCTACATACGTGATTACATTCATGGGTAGCAACATACATTATTATATTCGTCGGCTGCAACATACATGATTACACTTTCGTTCAATGTTCAACGTAAATAGTCGACTCAACAACGACTTTTTTATTTTTCCCTCTAAAAAAAGAAAATACTTTGGTGAAGATATTTTTTGAAGACTGTGAGTTTTGCTTTTCGTTTTCATTGCAAAAAAGTGGTGCCTGAAAATGGTTATCAAGAATTGAAAAAAATAATCATAATAAAAAAAAATTAACCATTAAAAATTAATTACACGCTGGTTGATTCTGCAATATGTTTACTGGTTATTTATCATCACAGGCAGAACTCACCCATCCACCATTTTCGGTGACCTTAGGGTCAATCCCCTCCACAACTGCCGTCTGGCACCAGCCTAGCACCTGGTCCATCTTAGCGATACCTTTGGAGTACATTCTCATCACGTAGTCGTACAAGAAGAAGAAAACTACGATGATGTGTTCTGCCAGATTTTGTGTTGAGGCACCCACTACTTGTTTCACGATAGATTGAAATTCCTCCTCTCTCACATCAAGGCTGTGCTGATATATATATATATATATATATATATATATATATATATATATATATATATATATATATATATGTATATATATATATATATATATATATATATATATATATATATATATATATATATATGTATATATATATATGTGTGTGTGTGAGTGAGTGTGTATGTATGAGCGTGTTTATATATTAAAGAGTGATTTTTTTTAAAACGCTATCTAATATTCCAATTCTGATATAAAGAATAAAATGTCGATGATAACTTACATTCATGGCTGTATCTTTCGTTAGTTGTCTCTGCCTAGAGTGCATAAACTCGGATGAGATGCCTTCAATACCTTTAAACACAGGATCTAATTCCGCATTTCCCCCCTCGACTCGCAGATCACTGTTTTGCCATTAATAAAGTGTGATGTGTTAGCTTAAGCTAAACTCCAATGAGAAAAATTATCTGACATCGCAAAACATTATGTTGTTTACCTTAATACAGTGAGATTTTGGATCAACTCTGGGTTGTCTTCCAGAAGCCTTTGTTTCACAAATAGCAGGAACAGATCCCTTCCAGTACATGACATGTTATCGACGCGGTGTCTTTACCTTTATAAAACAGCAAGATTTAGCCACACATACACTTTGTGGAATTTCTTGTTATCTATCTTAATTGAAACCAAACATTGTGTTGCATAATCCGTTATCTTTTCCTATAAGTAAAACACACATTGCGAAGTGCTTAGCACACTATATATTGTGGTCTTATTAGATAGCAGGTCACAAAAAACAGATAAACAAACACAGCAGTAGATGTTGGAGTAGATCATTCTACGTCCAGATAAAGGTAGGTATCACAGAGGTATGTGTACACTACTCAAGAATTGTAGGTTGATCTATGTATTTATATATTGCTGTGTCGGTGTAATATTCAATTACATATTAAATTTGTCTTAATAAAATTGTTATAAAGAAAGATGAATCTAAAGTTGTAAAACGGTGTCACAACTGTGAAATCAAATGGCTGGATTAATGTGACCTGCGGATGTATTCTATATTAATTAAAAGTTCATTTCGTGTCGACTATAGATACGATAACAATTCACCTATTTGTTTGCAGTTCAGTTCATGTTAACGGTAGGAACGATTGAAAATTTTCCCACATTTGTTAACAGTTCAGTTCATGTTAACGGTAGGAACGATTGAAAATTTCCCCACATTTGTTGACAGTTCAGTTCATGTTAACGGTAGGAACGATTGAAAATTTTCCCACATTTGTTGACAGTTCAGTTCATGTTAACGGTAGGAACGATTGAAAATTTTCCCACATTTGTTGACAGTTCAGTTCATGTTAACGGTAGGAACGATTGAAAATTTTCCCACATTTGTTAACAGTTCAGTTCATGTTAACGGTAGGAACGATTGAAAATTTCCCCACATTTGTTGACAGTTCAGTTCATGTTAACGGTAGGAACGATTGAAAATTTTCCCACATTTGTTGACAGTTCAGTTCATGTTAACGGTAGGAACGATTGAAAATTTTCCCACATTTGTTGACAGTTCAGTTCATGTTAACGGTAGGAACGATTGAAAATTTTCCCACATTTGTTGACAGTTCAGTTCATGTTAACGGTAGGAACGATTGAAAATTTTCCCACATTTGTTAACAGTTCAGTTCATGTTAACGGTAGGAACGATTGAAAATTTCCCCACATTTGTTGACAGTTCAGTTCATGTTAACGGTAGGAACGATTGAAAATTTTCCCACATTTGTTGACAGTTCAGTTCATGTTAACGGTAGGAACGATTGAAAATTTTCCCACATTTGTTGACTGTTCAGTTCATGTTAACGGTAGGAATGATTGAAAATTTTCCCTCATTTGTTGAGAGTTCAGTTCATGTTAACGGTAGGAACGATAGAAAATTTTCCCACATTTGTTGACAGTTCAGTTCATGTTAACGGTAGGAATGATTGAAAATTTTCCCACATTTGTTGAGAGTTCAGTTCATGTTAACGGTAGGAATGATTGAAAATTTTCCCTCATTTGTTGAGAGTTCAGTTCATGTTAACGGTAGGAATGATTGAAAATTTTCCCTCATTTGTTGAGAGTTCAGTTCATGTTAACGGTAGGATTGATTGAAAATTTTCCCACATTTGTTGAGAGTTCAGTTCATGTTAACGGTAGGAACGATTGAAAATTTTCCCTCATTTGTTGAGAGTTCAGTTCATGTTAACGGTAGGAATGATTGAAAATTTTCCCTCATTTGTTGAGAGTTCAGTTCATGTTAACGGTAGGAACGATTGAAAATTTTCCCACATTTGTTGTCAGTTCAGTTCATGTTAACGGTAGGAACGATTGAAAATTTTCCCACATTTGTCCACAGTTCAGTTCATGTTAACGGTAGGAACGATTAAAAATTTTCCCCACATTTGTTGACAGTTCAGTTCATGTTAACGGTAGGAACGATTGAAAATTTCCCCACATTTGCTGACAGTTCAGTTCATGTTAACGGTAGGAACGATTGAAAATTTTCCCACATTTGTTGAGAGTTCAGTTCATGTTAACGGTAGGAAAGATTGAAAATTTTCCCTCATTTGTTGACAGTTTTTTTAACAGATGGCCCAGTTAACCGGAGATGTGTTTCAAAGCTTTCTGGAGTTCAATGATCCGGGGATAATTGAAGAGCTAACAGGGAGTAGGTAAATAATTCGCTTTATATTTAAACAATCATATCACATACAAGGCTACGGTGTGCTGTTAGTTTCTTACTCTTATCTAGATTTTTTATTAAAATTCGTATGCAAATGTATATATATATATATATATATATATATATATATATATATATATATATATATATATATATATATATATATATATATATATATATAATTATATTTAGTATATATATATATATATATATATATATATATATATATATATATATATATATATATATATATATATATATATATATATATTACATTTAGTATAATTATATTTAGTATAATTAACATATGCATATTTAAAGACGTTTTTCTAAATTTGAATGATTTTATCTTTTTTTCCGTCTTTAAATACAATTTAGTTTATACATTTAGTACATCCAACATATTATTTTCAATAGAAGTCCGTATCTTTAAGTTTCCCATATATTGCCAATATATATATATATATATTCTAATATATTGTTTTGTTAAAGAGCTACTGTTTCAAGCAATAACGAGCATGTGGTCACGACTCTAAAGGACATTACTGATGAATTTGCTCAAACACGACTAAGAGAAAAAACAAGGCAACTAGCAGAACAGGTCAGATTTTGGTTTACAAACTCCAATAAACGAAACTATAAACATGTATTTATTATGATGTTAGCTAACACAGATTACCTAAGTCTAAATTCCAACTGAATTATAACAATAGTAACTTAATTATGCAATTTAAAGTTGATAATTAAGCGTACAATTTATTTCGCACAATGCAGTTTATTTAAAGCATCTCTTTGCTCCCCTCAGCGGAGCAGGTCCACCCCCCCTCCCCCCTTCCCAAGTGATGAAAACATGTGTAATGTATGTAGAAAATATATACTTAAACCATTTTCCAAACATGCATCTACCCCCTCCCCCCTCCACACACACAATGACGTGATGAAAAAATACGTAAAAGTAAACCAGTCTCGAAACGATAAAATAATTTTAAAAAAAAACTTCTCAAGGTTTATTTGCATGCGCGCTACATATTATTTATAATTGCCAGCATGGTCAATTACTAGTTGTTAGATCAGTTTCATTTCTTCGGTTGCTATTGAAACATAGCGTGTAAAACTACGCTGAGTTATGTTTTCTTTTCCCGTGCATTCAACATAATACATTTGAACGATTTATGTATGAGCTGTCTTTAACCTCACATTCTTAAAATACATTTTTGTAACAGGAATCTCACAAGTCGTATTCCTTCTCTGATTTCACCAACATCATAACAGAGGTGGTGAGGGGCTCACAGTATGTGTGGGAGGCGATTTGTGTGGTGTTCCACTTCTGTTGGGACCTACTGAAGCTGTTAGCCAGGCGAATCGCTGGACAGATAAAGGATTGTTTCATAGCCTGTAAGAACGCTGTCTCTTACGTCATCGGTAGGGTTGTAACCTGCGTGGGCGGATGGGTGAGTGGCTAAATTTTTTTTAATTGAATACATTTTTAAAGAGGTTAATTACTGGCATGGAATTAAACAATGTTCTAATAAACATTACTTTGAACTAGAGGCGTAGCGACCCTTCCAGGCGCCCGGGGACAAACTTTCGTTTCGAACCCCCTCGAACTTTTCATTTGCACCCCCCCCCCTCTAAAACTTTCAATTTGGCGCTCCCCCTAAGGTCGGCGACCGGGGACATATGTCCCCCCCCCCCTTGCTACGCCTCTGCTTTGAACGTCGTTATTGTTAGCAAATCAATAAGAATATATTTTAAAATATTACTATTTTATTATACAAATGTATTGTCAAATTATTTTATAAGTATCTTCTCGATTCGTCAATAAAAAATACAATTAATATAATTCTCTTCTCACAGGTTCGCGCTCTGTCTAAGGCTTTATCTATTGGCACGTTAATAAATTCTATATTCACGTTTAGTACGGGGGGAAATAAATGAATTAGTATTAAAGTTGTATGGGGTTATTCAACACTAGTCTTTTAATTTTAAAAACATTTTTTAATGTATCTAAAAAAATTCCATAACTAGCTTATTAAATACAGGATGTTGGATACTTTTTTCAGATTTGTACTTGTTTTTTTTTTATCTGTATTATTGTTTTTATTTGTTATTATGTAGGTTGTATTGCATATATTTCTTGGATATTTATATATTTTAAATTACAAGACGAAATATTTTAAAATTATCTATTTCTAAGTCATTGCAGACTACGAGAAGATTTTAAAGCAATACAAATGTTAATATATTATGTAAATTAGTTGAAATATCATCTTTGTCTGTTCGTGCCCAAGTGACATGGCTCAGAACGACTAGTAGAGTTCATCTGTCTCAGAGACCTCGGCATACAGGGGGATAGTGTGGTCAGCACTATACCCAGCCTTCTTTGTTTTCCCTAACGTGAGTTAGGTACCAGTCAGAGCTGGGTGGCCATTCCGTTGACTTGAACCCGGATTCGAACTCGAGACTTTCGGGTTAGCAGTCTAGCTCTCTACCGCTAGTTAAAATCTATAGATCCATTATCTATCGACCTTTGATGGCTACAACTGAGGTGTAAGCCCGTTCTGTTTGTGTTCTCTTATGGCAGCATACAACAGGCAGAACGGTGTTAAATATTGATGCAACTAAATGAAAGAATATACGAGGTGACTTAGTTGGATGGTTTTAGTGGAACTACTTTAACATTGACATCATGATGCATGAAATACAGGCTTATGACAAGATTTGTGTCCGTATTGGTGGGAAATCAGAAGCTAATTGTTTTACTAATAACAATTAACTTAAACGCTTAAACGTCTTGTGGCTATCAACAAGCTGATGGACGACAAGCTTACTGTCAGAAACATTAACTTTCCAATGTTGTCAGTTTTTAATTCCCGTTCGTTACTAAACTACACCAACGCAGATTGTAGTAAATAATGTCTAATTAGTATAAACAACAATGATTTTTTTTTACAAGAGATTGATGATAGCGGCGGCAACTAGATACCATTGAAGATTGTTGTTTGATATGAGTAGGGTTGCGAAATAAATTGAGGGTTTAGAACTCCTGAGATGGGGTTTCTGTGTTAGTTGAGCCCCGTCGAATATGGGTATAATATGGTCACTAAAGTATTTGTATGTGTGATTTTCTGCGGACAGACTTTCATCATTTGGAACACTACATATGTAAAGTTTAAGGGAATTTTTCAAGGAGATGATTGGAGATGTTTGAGGCTTATTTAGTGATGATTTTAGTTTGGTGTATTGAAACCTAAGATGATTTGAGTTTGGTGTATTGAAACGTAAGATGATTTGAGAGGTTTGGTGTAGTGAAACCTAAGATGATTTTAGAGGTTTGGTATATTGAAAACTAAGAGGATTTGAGTTTGGTGTATTGAAACCTAAGATGATTGGAGAGGTTTGAGGATGGATTCTAGAGATTATTGGATTTGGAAATGATTTAACGGATTGATGTCTTAGAACCCCTGGTTCGGTTTCATCATCGGGAGTAGTGGCCCACCATTTCACACGTGTAGGGTGCTTTTTAAAATGAATATAGACTCCTTATTGATTTGGACGACTGTGCTTTTTGTTATTCAAGTTCCATGTAAACAATTTTTATTGCAAACGTTTTTTTTTTAAATTAAATCATTAAACAACAATCATTCGGGGTGGATGGGTTTGCGTCTTTAAATTATTATTTATGATCGAACAAATCAAACCAAACATAGATCTACAGATACAGAAGTTTATTTATACAATATCAAATACAAAGTAATTTTTGAAACTGTTCATTTTGTTACTTTTTCACATACAGAGTATAGATGAAGTATTATAATCGTGCTACAAAATCAAATAAAATCGTGATAGTTTTCGCCGATTTATTTTCTCCAACTTGATTGTAGGCTATATTGTCAAAATTTGGATATTATACGCGACCGGGAGAGGAAATTGTAAGGGGGATAATCGAGAAAATATTTCAGGAAATTTAAAATAAATTTATGTAGTATACTACACTCAGTGAGTAGAAATATAACGTCTGTCACACATTGCCTTTAAAAAACAAAAGGTTTTTTTTAATGATTAGTAGATTGGTTATACACAGTCACTGAAGAAATCGGCTGTGAAACTGCCATTGATGTAAAACATGAATAATTTTGTGTTAAGTGTATTGGAAACCAATATAGGACGAACAAATTACAATGTTATACTGTAAGTTATTTTTTTAGTCACAAAACATATAAATAATTAAAAAAGAAACAAATAATTAAAAAATTAACTAGGATCCGATAAAGATTTATTTTAATAGTTACATATTTCTAACGACTCTAAACCTTTATATTTAGATTATATTTATACAATCCTAAAATAGGCTCATTTATTTAGAGAGTTCATAATTTCCATCACAAAAATTTTAAACGTTAAAATTTTCTGTTTTTTTTTTCTGTCTTAAAACTCTTAATTGTTTAAGTTTAAAACCAATTAAATAATGTGTAAATTACACAATACTCAAAATATTTGTATATGCGCATTGAGATATGTTTGCGTGAAAAAATATTTTATTTGATTGATTATTTCCTCCAAAACAACAGTCTAGAGAACAGACTACTTGACGACTGTGGCCTTTGTTTTGGTTTTTTCTTTGAAAAAACGTGTGCCTGTTAATTGGAAAAAACATTAATTTATAAAATTAGTTTATAAAATATAAATGATATATGTAAAAAAATGTTTTAAGGTCTTATGTGAACGTCTAAAATTATTTCAGCATACTTTACCACAGAATTTTAAAAAAATCAATTCATCAACATATTTCTTAACGAATAAGAAACACAAATTATTCTTATCACTGCTATAGCTCACCCATCCCCCCACTTGGGTGACCTTAGGGTCAATCCCCTCCACAACTGCCGTCTGGCACCAGCCTAGCACCTGATCCATCTTAGCGATACCTTTGGAGTACATTCTCATCACGTAGTCGTACAAGAAGAAGAAAACTACGATGATGTGTTCTGATACGTTTTGTGTTGCTGCGGCTAAAACTTCTTGGACGATAGATTTAAAGTCTTGCTCTTTCACATCAAGGCTGTGCTAGAATACACATACACTGATGTATATATAATATATATATATATATATATATATATATATATATATATATATATATATATATATATATATATATATATATATATATATATATATATATATATATATATATATATATATATATCATTTACACACACACACATATATATATAATGTGTATATATATATATTATATATATATATATATAGTATATATATAGTATATATTATATATATATATATATATATATATATATATATATATATATATATATGCGTGTGTGTTTGTATATAATAAGTATATCAGTGTTTGTAATAAACGTCAATATACAATTATAATGATCACTCTTATATTCATGTTGCTACTATTCTAAACATTAAAGACATACCGCCATAGCCTCGTCTCTTGTCAGTTTTCTGTGTTTAGAATTCAAAAAGTGTCGGGCTACATCTTCGAGACCTGCACACACATGCTTCAACTCCACATTTTCCTTAGCTTGTGCAGTACTATTTAGAAATTTAGACACAATTACTTTGCCTTTTTAACGAACCTACAAACTAAAGAGTATGTTTTTGAACTTTTTTTTTACGCGTCTCAATCAATGTGTTAATTTACAAATTTAAAAAATAAAAATTGTTACCTTAAGAAGGACAGTTGACTGATTAACTCCGGGTTGTCGTCTTTCAATCTTTGTTTGACAAATAACAGAAACACTTGACCACCGTTACATGCCTTAGTAGCTACATTTTCCTCCGGCCAAGCTTCAGTTGCTAGTGGAACATTAGCCATTGATGAACTCACTTGTTTAAGTTTTCTGATAACCAACTCGATAGTAGATGTATATCTAAAGCATTTGGGTCGTCAAGAATGAACCAACGCTTAGAAATGCGGACTATAGTTCCTGCTGTAATGTAAGCTAAACAAGGAACCGGATCCAACAACCACGCACACCGCACGACGTTAAAACTTGGCAATGATTAAACTTCTATAGAGGAGACTTCAGTTTAGGGTAGTGATACAAAAATAATCAATAGTGATATTAAAACAGCAACAAATGAAAAGAGTTATAGGAAATTATTTTAAGATTACTTAGAAATAAATGTAATCGTATAAATATGTTATTATAAAACATATATAGTTGATTCATCTTTTTGTTCAATAAATACAGCCGTCAATTACATTTATTGTAATGCATTATTTAAATTTTAAAACTTAATTTTTAAAGTCCTTATAAGTGTTTATAAGTCTTTTTATAATTTACATGAAAGAGCTCGATTAATTGAGTAATATATAATATATAATGTTTATATCATTTTATACGTATGGATATATATATATATATATATATATATATATATATATATATATATATATATATATATATATATATATATATATAAAATATACAATTTTATGATAAAATATACAATTGAGGTAATTGCTAATTATGGCTTTACAAACGTAAATTCATGAAAAACAAATATGTGATTTGTGATTAAATTGGTTCTGATAGTAAAGTGCTTCTAATTAAGTTTGTAGGTAGTGTTTTACTGAGTGGCTTCCCCTTTATAATTTTTTACCAGAAGGCAAACCGGATTTCTGGCAATTGTGCTGTGATTTATTTTTCCTGAGACATTGTAAGTTCGCGTCTTGTACTAGAAAGTTATAATCTATTACCAGTCATTCAATGCAGACTGTACCGTATTTAAATATTTCTTCTCCACTTAATGCTACGTAGCATTTTTTTTAAATTTACTGTAAAAATGAACGTCACATTTTAACAATTGGTAGAAAGATTTTTTCTGCTTATGTTACCCTATATCTAAAATAAAACCATTTCGTAAGTTACTTTGCTTTTCAATCCAAACTTAATAAATTTAAGATTATATTGATTTTATAATAAATTTTAAAATAAATTGGTAATTGTATGTTTGAATAACCATATCTGAATTATGAATATCATGCCTATATAAATTACAACTTTAATGTCACTATTTAGACAATGACGCAAAGATACTACAGTTCAAACCAAGTAGCCCCCCTTTCCTGCATTGATGACCAGATTGAAGAGGGTTTAACGTAAATTATATTTTTTGGTTGGAGTTGAATGTTTGTGTAGAAAAACCTAGTTAATTTTTTAAATTATTGTATAAACGGATTTATACGTAGAATATTTTATTTATCAAATTAGATTTAACAATTGTTATTAGTAATAATTACTCTGTTGTTTGTAGGGTATGAGACTGGAATTGATGTTTTCCATGTATAATCTAATACAATCAGTTTTTACATGCCTACATTTATAAAATTCTAATTCAACAGCACTAACAGTCAAGTAGATAAAGCTAGGATAGTCAATAATCTGAACAATATAATACATGCCTATGCACGTCAGGTAACTGATTTATTACTTTAGCTCGACGTATTAAAACTCTAGATTATTACATAATTTAAGGTGACGAATAAAGATACGTAATAGTTTAATAATTAAAGGAATTATGCGTTATTAATAATAGTGATAATAGGAGCATGAGAAAATGTTTAATGTTTAAAAATATTTGACTTATTAGTTTATGCTGTATTAACATTTTTTTAAAAAGTTAATTACTTATTATTGTTTCCATGCGACAGAAACACATAATGTAATAAAATATGTTTAAAAAAAACGTGGAATTTCCAAACTAATAGCTCAATTACGTTTTTCCATATCTTAGTTCTTTTAGTAGTAATTATGTTTATACCTTTTTAATTAATTCAAAGACAAAAATAAATTCGATTCTAAAATTAGAAACAGTAATTGAGCTAAAAAGTTAATCTCCCAAAAGGAGACAATACCAAAATAAAATCGCTCTTTTTCTATGTTAAACGTTTTTTTCTACAGAATGTTGGAATTTTAGACTACGTATTAGGAAGAATTCGTTCCATCGCACAAAGCATCAAGGATAGGGTCGTGTCAGTGGCTAGAACAGCGTGGAACGGAGTGAAGACAGTCGCTAAAACCGTCTGGAATGGATTCAAGTCATTCTTCGGATTCTCTTAATAAAACTTGTCATCATCTTTTTTTACGACTCTCTGTAAATTACAACACTAAAACGAAAATCACAAGTTAATAACATTTTGTTTACACAAAAAGGGTAATATTAATTAAACATATTACTTCTGTGCACAAAAAGTAATATGTTACATAAAAAGTTGATTGTTTACCAAAATATCTTAGTAACAGATTTTTATTTTTCTTGTTTACACGAATAAAAAAAAAAATTAAAGTGAAACACCAATCTGGTCGTGAACACACACAAATGTAATATAAGTGGAATGTCATTGTGTTTGGTTGCACACACAAAATATTTCAAGTGAACTAACATTTTCTCGTTTACACATAACGTGTAATATAAGTTCAATAATTTTTTTGCTTGTTTGCGTTTTTGCGTGTGAGATATAACATTTTTAAATCGAAAGTTTAGAAATGTAATTCAAAATCTAATGGACATATAAATTGATATTAGTAATGTTCTGTAACATGTGATTTTAATAAACACGTTGATTTTCCCGCTTTTTGTTCACTAAGCTGATAATTTCTATACGATCATAAGGGCATATCTGACAACTTGATAAAAATACGTTACTTATTAGTGATTGTGCAAATAATATACACCACAAAATGGGTAGGGTGGTTAATGATTAAGTAAAATTAAGTTCAAAGGGCTAAGTGATGTGTACTACTTTTAAGATGTGCTAAGTTGTTGAAATACTAAACTCTAATGTGGATTAAGAGTGTTTGTGTAAGTGTGTTGGTTACTGTAATTACTGGACAAATAAAGTGATGGTAAAAATGTCCCAAATTTTCCGGTTTCTAAAATGTGCTCATTTGTTATCATTTGAAATATTCTTTTTTACTTTCTCGTATACGACAAATCTCGACGTTTTACACCTCCTTGAGTCGGAAAACCTTGTTGTGTTTTTGTCTGTAATTCTGTGAGTCTATCTGTGTGTGAGTATGTCTGTGAACACGATAAAATGATTACCGTTTAAGTTATGCTGACAAAATTTCATAAGTATTAAATTTTCAGCTCTGTCTCACTTTTTGAGCGACTTTCTGTAACCGGAATTAGTACGTACTCTACTTCCGTTTTCGCAAACTTCAATAACTTGAATACCATTTAAGTTAAGTGAACAAAATTTCACGTATAAGTATTACATTGCATGCGCATGTTCTTCTCAAATTTTTAACTATTTCTTGAAACCAGAAGTGACACGTTACTCTTTTCTGTGTGAACACTTTAACTTGAGTATTGCTTCGGTTAGGAAGAAGAACATTCATATAGTAGTATACGATCTTATAACTAAATTACTTTCAATTTTTGAGAGAGTTTTATTAACCATAAGTGGTACTTTACTCTATTTCTGGTTTCCAAAACACCAATAACTTAAGTAACGTTTCAGTTTAGCAGACGAAAATGTACACATAGATGTAAGATTTTATTCTCTTAATTCCTATAAGTATGAGTGAGATTTCAAGTGAACGAAAGTATTACTATGGTATTTTTTTCTGAAAAAAAAATGTCACTTCTACCTGACTTCAAAACTTTACACTGTGACATAACATTGGCTGAATTCGATATTTAATTTACTTTCTTTAAAAAGGTTAATCAGTTTTCTTTATAAAGCATTAATTTTCCGCTTTCTTACACAAATATTGCTATGCTCGTTTGGTGCGCTATTCCGCTCTGTTTAAAAATTATGAAATACGAGAAAGTTTAAGAGGGATCGCTCCGCTATATTATACTCTTCGAATTTTATCCGAAATAATACAGTAGCGTGGTCGAGTTATAGTGCACACAACTGTTTACCAGCAAGCCTGAATTTTCCGTACAAATCATATTTACGTCCGGACGTCGAAGCCAAGAGCATACACAATCTCTACTTAACTTGTTGTCAGAGAAACCGCTAAAGCCATACATGAAAGGGCTCATCATTTGCGCTGAGTTGTGAAAGTTGTTCATTATTTACGCTTAGTTGTGTAAGTTGTTCATTATTTACGCTGAGTTGTGTAAGTTATTCATTATTTATGCTGCGCTGTGTCAGATTTCATTATTTAGGCTGAGCTGTCTAAAATGTTCAGTGTGTACGCTGAGCGGTTGAATTAAAATAACAATGACAGAAACATTTTCTTGGTCTTTTGTAAATGGTAACTAATACACACTGTATTTTTTTATGGACATCATCAAATAAAAGCCATATCAATATTCCGATTCTCTTATTGTTAATTTCACAGTTCTTGAGCTTATAACATTATTTTTTTTAAACTTTATTAATCACCCGTCATACGATTTTCTGATAGGTTATGTTAAACAGGATGCTGGCCTTAGAGTGTTGCAATTTATTTGTCAAAGACTTTCATGTATGATGTTTTTTAGTATAGGAATAATGTCACGATACTTTTTAAGAGCAGATAATTAGAGAAAAATGTAATAAGACGAAAACTCAAATCTTAATTTAACTTGCAATGATTTCAAAAATAAGGCAATACTGTGCATTATTTTGAAATAAAGAATTCAGCGTAAAAACAATAAAGGTAGGGCAAATAAATATGTAATAAAGTTTAAAACACGCTCAACATAATTAAATTATATTAAAATATTAACTGTGAATACAGTGTTCATTCTGTCACTTTTTTATATGAATATATATATACGAGAAAAATGGCCCGTTGAGGAAGGATACACCGGGCGCTAGGTTGATAGTGCTGTCTCTTTTCTCTAAACTAAAACCAACCCACCCCCACCCCCCAAAACCCCCCACCCCCCCACCCCCAAAAAAACATGTCTACCGTCCCATTCAACGAAATATAATTATATACTTTTTCCAGTGTCCGCCCCCCTTCCCGAAAATTCTACCCCCGCCCCCGAAAATTTCAATTACCCCCACCCCTCTCCCGGGAGGAAAAAGTCTGAAAGAAACACTGGTGTCACGCTTAGCCACCACCCGAAGAATTGCATTAAAGAAATTGCAAGAAAACCACTTTTTAGATTAGACACATTAATTAGGCGGTAATTTTATTATAGAGTATCGATGAAGAAATTTCTTTTGAGTTGGGGAGGGGGGGGGGGGGGCTCAGACGTTCTTACGCGTGGGGTGGGGCTTCGTCCCTACCCGAAGAATTGTATGCAAGAAACTCTTCACGCAAACCATTTAGATTAGACAACATTTCCTTTTTATTCAATGTTTACGCGATAATCAATGACGTCATTATATTACTGTGTGCACTCTCTGGTTTGAGATTATGTTCTACTCTATGCTAAATGTGACCGCGTCATACTTCGTCTTTCGTTTCACTGTGAGAGTTTTTAATTTCCTTGTGTTTTCTCTAGAGCGTTCTTGTCAGACAGATAGATAGATAGATAGATAGATAGATAGATAGATAGATAGATAGATAGATAGATAGATAGATAGATAGATAGATAGATAGATAGATAGATAGATAGATAGATAGATAGATAGATAGATAGATAGATAGATAGATAGATAGATAGATAGATACATAGAGAGACAGCGAAACTATTATATAGAATATATATATATATATATATATATATATATATATATATATATATATATATATATATATATATATATATATATATATATATATATATCTGTGTGTGTGTGTTTGCAAGTGTATTTGTTAAGGCTAATGGTCAACCAAACTTTCAAGCCTAATATAAATGTATACTTCTGTATAACCACACTGTTTCCGATCATACAACTGACACAGTAATTTGTATGTGTACCTAGCTTGTCACGGTACCGCTCCTTGTTAAGAAAGCCTCCTTGAACCACGCCATTATTCTACTCCTTACTTTCATTTTATAACATTCTTTTTCCCAGACCTAATATTTAAATCATATATCCAATATCGAATTTTTTTCTTTCTGCGTTCTTAATTTTGAGTGTTGGAAGAGATTCCCTTCGCGACAGCTTTAAATTTGGAGTTGTCACGAATGGGGGAGTTGCTGTCCACAGCTATCGAGCCTCATCAGCCCGAGGGTTCAAACTCGAGACTTTTTGGTTTAGCAACCATGTTACAATATTAAACGCAATACAGAAAAACCCGCTAAGAAGTTAATCTGCACTAAAAAAAATCTTAAAATAATCAAGTTTGTTCATATCCTCGATTCATTTTAAGCTTTTCAAATTAAAAAATTCCTGGTAGCCCTATACAAATGTTTCAATGTAGTTTACGGATATCGATTATTGTAAAGAATTATAAATATGTCAATGAAATAAAACTAAATAGGCCTACTTTTCACGTCTTTGAAAATTTTCAAGAAAATGACTTGGCAGAAACATACATTCCTCAGACGTACTAGCATATAAAGACTATTGGTGCTGACATAAGTACGTTGCTACAACAAGTAATTCGCATGTCCTGGATCTTTTTAAAGTAAACTTTTCACACCAAACAACCAAACATTTGTTTTTCTAATGGGTGAAGGGAGAAGCATACATTATCTGTTATAACCTAACTTATAGCACCTGTACATTTGCGTGTGCGTTTGCATACATCTGTGCGTGTGTGTACATCTATTAGGCTGTTGACGTGTACGTTTACGTGTGCGTGTGCGTGTGCGTGTACGTGTGCGTGTACGTGTGCGTGTACGTGTGCGTGTACGTGTGCGTGTACGTGTGCGTGTACGTGTGCGTGTACGTGTGCGTGTGCGTGTACGTGTGCGTGTACGTGTGTGTGTACGTGTGCGTGTACGTGTGCGTGTACGTGTGCGTGTATGTGTGCGTGTCCGGTTGCGTGTACGTGTGCGTGTACGTGTGCGTGTACGTGTGCGTGTACGTGTCCGTGTACGTGTACGTAGAACTCTACGCCAAATCGCTCTGCAGTTTGCAGCCAGACATTTTCAATTCCAGACGAGGACAAAACGTTAGCCTACTTTTTGTCAACGTCGTATCCTGGTTCGTCCTGACAAGTTTTGTGACATATCGAGTTTGTGCGGATCATTTATCAACTTATATTTTACTTATTGTCTTAGTCGTAAGTATACACTTTAAACATTTCTTTGCAAAATATGATAAAAGTTTGTTTTATTATTGATTACTAAAAGTCATATTCTGAACCTTAATAAGGAAATTCTTTTAAATCTTAACATAATTCACAGATGGCTCAAGAATATTTAACTGAAGAAGTATTTGATAGCTTTTTTGAAAGCAAGGAAGATGGGGTAATAGAACAGCTTACTGGAGGAAGGTAAACATGCTATTTATATGTTACGAAGTCCTATATGGCAGAAAAAGTAGAGAGTAGTGCTTAGAATGTTTTTAAAAATGAAAATAATTTTTCGATTTACAACTTTTCAAGTGCGGACTGTTCAAGAGAGGCTCAACCTATTGCCGCCACTTTGATTGACATTTCAAAACAGTTTGAGGGTACACTGCAGAGAGCTCAGACCAGAGAAATCGCAGAAGAGGTAACATTACACAAAATTCCAACTTCAAAATCCATGAATTGGATAAATATGCGAATAGCAAGCCAATATTGTAGCATAAACGCTAAATATTTAAAAGAAATAATTAGTAGAGATAACCATATAATTTAATCGGTCTTCATTGAAAATTTTGGTATAACTGAAAAGAGCAAGAAAACCTTGACATAAATAAAAAATACCCGGCTATAGCAATGCTATGTGCTATATACATTATTGCTTAGAAATATATAGAGGCTACATAAAGATATTCTAAAAGTTCATAAATCTTTGAAGAAGCAGTCAGTTTTAGCTTTCATGAAATGAATGCCGTTTTTAAATCAGGTGTCCCGACAGTCGGTGAGTCCCTCTGACATGAGAGACATCATCCACTCGGTGGTGAAGGGCTCCAAGTTCGTGAAAGAAGCCATTCTCGTCGTCTTCCATTTCTCCTATGACACGTTGAAGTGTAAGTCAGGGTCAAGGTGGGAGAGGGTCCGCAACTTTTTCTCAGCCTGTAAGAACACCGTCTCCAATGTCATCACTAAAGTCGTCAACTTCGCTAAAGGATGGGTAAATATCTCAAATTAACCATCATTTTACATAGTAGAATGAGATTTAAAAAAAAAACATAAATAAAATGAAAATGTTTAAAAATGCTGTGATTTCAATTTTTAATTAGAGGGCTAAGATTTCAAATAATTTTTGCTTAGCTTATTCTATGCAGTTTACTAATTATTATAAACGCTTTTAATAGAAGCAGTCTTATCTTTTACTTTCATAAAGAAATAATGAAATTATTTTTCAGCACTCGTATGTCATAACCATGAATTATAATAATTTTCTATCCACAGATGCCTGCTCTAAAATTTGTCATAAAACTGGCTTTGTTTATTGCTAGTTTTTTTTAGATAACTTCATGTGTCCAGATTTACAATTTTCAAACTGTAGGTAGTGGTTCAATCAATAACATTTTGGTTTAAGCTGATTATTTCTTTAAAAGTACGCGGTTTTATATTTAAAATTTTAATTTATTGTACATACATATATATATATATATATATATATATATATATATATATATATATATATATATATATATATATATATGTATATATATATATATATATATGTGTGTGTGTGTGTATGATCGATTTGTTGTTTGTATTGATATATTGCATTGATTTAAAACACTTTGAATCTATTAGTATATTGCACTTTATCTTGAAAAATCAGATTTATTCAATCTTTAACTTCCGTACAATTGTTTATTTTAATATTTTCAAAAACTTTCTTACATTTAATACTACATTTTGCAAGGATTTTGAAAAAAAAAATCAAGACATTAACTTAAGAACATTCCTCTGAGATATATGTTTTGTTATTATTCTTCAGTGCAACAGTTTTTTAACTTGTTAAGAAAACGCAATGTAATAAAATACACATTTTATAAAATTACAAAATAAGTACATCATAATAATTCTATCAACTTTTTAGGACATTTTTATTATGTGATTTCTTTTGTTCTAATTAATTACGTTTTAGGCTGTTTTCTTGTTTAATTTTAAAACTTTTTTCTAATATATAATGCAAATCATGCCATTATTAAAAAAAAGTAAAATTTTCTATTTGAAATGATTTTAAAATATTGCATTTGTAAACAAATCTATTCTGAATCGATCGGCCTACCCTTCTTATAAAACAGACCAAACAGCGATAGCATACGCTGATGTATCCTGTTGGCATACGTGTAAATCTGTGTACGGTTAGATTTATAAATAAAACTGGTTGGTTCACATAGAGAAGTAGCGATCAATAAAAATAAGAAGTCAGCACAGCACACCAACAGTCGCTATAGCTCAGTATAATTTCCAAGAGCCGGTACAAATTTACCTAATTAAAGAATTTATTACGTTACCAAATATTTAAGATAGAGACTACACTTTGTTGTTGTGAAGGAAACTTTACAATAATAATGAACATTACAGTTTTAAATGCAGAAGTATTTTTTATGAAGTTGGAATAACATTGACAAGTAGGCCCTATTTGTAATGTAAAAAGAATTTTAAATAATTCAATAAAGTTATAGTTTTAAATAGGGCATTTTAAAATTTACTCTTCTGTCTGTTTGGCCTCGGAATACGAAGTGTTGTCAGTTCAATGCTAGACTTTTTTGTACCTGTCTTAAGTCTTAAATTTAATTTGTTTCACCAACTAACGGTTTTAAAAAACTTATGTTTTGAAATAAAGTGTGATACATTCTTATTTTTTCTTTTGATTTTTTTGTCCATTTATACACTATTTTAGCTTGGTTGAATTATCTGTTTCTTTTAAATACTCTTCACATTCAAGACTGAGTGATCTAGCCTGGGTAAGCACAGATAGGGCCTACTTAGTCACAACAATACAATTGGTTGTGTTATAGAAATATAAGTAGGCCTATATAATTACATATATTGTATACATATATATATATATATATATATATATATATATATATATATATATATATATATATATATATATATATACACTGGGCCTACACCTCCGCCAGCATCTTCCGTAAGCTCACATATGCTAATTTGCAGGGTCAATACACTCTATAAAACCAGTTAATTCTTTGCATCATCCTTAATATTAATTAATTTCAATTTGGACAACTGCTCTGATGTACCAGCAATTTGTAAAACGAGCAATGTTATCAAACGAATTAAACTCGTTTCTCGAGGTACCACTGTATATGTTATCCAATAGCCGAACCGTCCAGACACTGCACTGGCCACTGTAAAAAAAAGCTATCTGTAAAGGACCGTGACTTATGTGTTTATTTACCAGCATATGTTTGTATTTGTTTAGTGTTCTAAATATGCAAATTTAGTATGGCTGTTAATACTATCTTAACGTCTCGTATATTATGGTTTCGTGTTTATCGTTTTTTACTTTCTCGTATATACGAAGTATAGAGAAAGTCTTGTAATCGTGCAAAAAAAAAAATCGTTTTACAACTCACTGATACGGAAAAACATAATTTTGCAATCTTGTCCGTATGTCTGTGTGTCTGTCTGTGTGTCTGTCTGTGTGTAAACACGATAACTTGAGTATCGTTACAGCTAGGTTGATGAAATTTCATATATAATTATTTTATCAAAATCGTAGATCCGTATAAACTTTTGAGCGATTTCCGATAAACGGAAGTGGTACTTTTTCTACTTTGAATTTTTCAAAAGCCTATAACTTAAGTACTAAATCAGATAGATAAATGAAATTTCACATGTAAGTAAATGATCTAATTCTCTACCTTCTTTCAAATTTTGAGTAATTTCCGTTGATCGGAAGTACTAATTTACGCTATTTCCGATTTCTCAAAAATCACATGTAAATTTATAAAGTACTAATAATATTGCGCACTATTATGCACATTTTTTGTTTTGGCGTTAGCTTGGTGCGCAATTCTTTTTTTTATGAGACTCTATTCTATTTTTAAAAGTTTAAGTAATTAAAACGCATGTCTATAGTCCAAGTTATATAAAAATATTGGAGAAAGCTTAGGGGAGATCACTCCCTGTTTATTTTACTCTATGCTGATTATAATATTTCTAAAGTCTGCATTACTTGTGAAAGAGTACTTTTATCATTATGATGTTAATGATTGCGTAAAGACTCAACTTAGAGGGTAAGGCAGGATTATGTGTATGTCGTTGGAAAAAATAAAATGTTAAAAAGTTAAATTAAAAGTCCAAAGAGAATTGTATCTAGCAGGTTGCTATCTGGTGTCTGTTTGTGTAACAACTCCTAGTGTAGACAATCATTTTCCGGTGAGTTGTTGTTCTTCTGGTCAATTCTTTTTAGATGGACGATAAATAATTTTCAGTAATTTACAGCGCCAAAAGATTGGTCTGTAGACAGTTCGATGAAGTACGACGCTAATAACTTTAAATACACTTCTTTTAAGTTACCACAAGGTATCAACTTCAATCAATTGAGTTTGCTGCTTTTCAACTCTCTCTCTCTCTCTCTCTCTCTCTCTCTATATATATATATATATATATATATATATATATATATATATATATATATATATATATATATATATATATATATATATATATATATATATTATTTAATGGCTCATCAATTAAAACAAAAAACAAATATTGCAGTTTGACTTTTTTTAATGTAGTTATAGTTTTAAAATCTAATAAAACATTTGGCAATATTTGTAAATAAAACAACTATGGCTAACTCAGCGACACTTCTGAAAAAGCTATACAGTTGTCGTCTTTCTACTCTACAGCAATATGCAACAGCCTTGTCCTTGGTTTTGCTTAAAAACTGTTACCTATTGGCACAAAATTGTAATAAAATGCATTATTAGAAATAGTTAAGTATACCATTTAGTTAAAAATAAAAAACATAAACACAGTCAATTTGAATATTTAACTATAGTCTTTAAAAGTTTAATGTTAATCAATTGTAATGTATTCTAAATAATAACAAACTATCTTTCGTGTGTTGCGCATCAATGAACTTACCCATCCACCGGCCTGAGTAACCTTTGGGTCAACCTCTTCAACAACTGTCTTTTGTGACCATCCCAGCACCTCCCCCATATTGGCCACACCTTTAGTGTACATTCTCATTATAAAATCATACATGAAGAAGAAAACCACGACGATGCAGTTAACTAGATTTTCTGGAGATGCTGCTAGAACTTGTTCGACGATCGATTTGAAATCCTGCTCCCTAATGTCAAGGCTATGCTGAGTATGTATGTAATTATATATATATATATATATATATATATATATATATATATATATATATATATATATATATATATATATATATATATATATGTAAACTGTTCGGTTAAGACTAAATGTTTACCTATACAAAATATTTCTACCTTAAAAAACTTTAACTTACTGCCATAGCCTCATCTTTAGTCATTTGCCTCTGCTTTGATTTCAGAAAGTGAGAAGTTTCTCTCTGAAGGTCTTTGTAAGCACATTTGAATTCCTCATTTTCAGGTTCTTTGAAATCGCTTTGTTTGAATATAATATTAGACAATTTAAACATATTTTTTAAAAACGTATTTAATTTATCGGGTTACTGTAGTTTTCGCCAAGAAATAAAATAATGTATTTACCTCAGTAAAGTTATCTGACTGACCATTTCTGGATGGTCAGCTTGCAATCTTTGTTTCACAAACAACAAAAACAGTTGTCCGCCATTGTACGTCATGTTATAGACACTCCTCTAGTTGATCAAACGATCGGGTGATAGCCACCAATTAACACGCTGCCTACTTGATCGAACCTCCGAACCGGTTTTATAAAAATTATTGGAACAACTACTGCCTAACGTGTCCCTTACAAATACACCGCACGGCTAGACCGCAGTTATTTTAGGCACAGCTAACTCAAATATGGAGCAGTAGAACCTTAACAGGATCTAAACCCAGAATTTGTGTCGTATTATAATAGTAAGCATATATATATATATATATATATATATATATACTTATATATATATATATATATATATATATATATATATATATATATATATATATATACAAATGTAGGATATGCATACTTTTGTATTATAGTATTTATTATAAACATCTAAATATATTTTATATTTTATATTTATTTTGTATATACCAATAATATATGTTAATATCACATTGAAAAATCATTTTAGTTAAACATAGGTGATTAATCGTTTCCTGTTAATTCTTGGCTAAATGCCAAGGATATTATTCAATATACTCTATGTCTGTACACCTTCTATTCAGTGCCTATCCTGTAATGTTAAATATTGTTGACGTATTTTCTCTACAGTATCCTGGGAGTTGTTGTTTAAATGTACCCCGATCAGTGACTTGTGTGACCTGGATTGGATTAAAGACGTGACATAGGCTATTATATTTGACTTGCCAGAACTCAAGGACTGTTTCTGCTTCCTTCCCAAGAAAATTCCTGACACGCGACCGAGAGATAAGAATGCTTGAAAATTTAGCGCAGTTTAGCCTTTATGTTCGGCTTTATCAACCGGCAATAATTTCTTGAAAATTCTTACAAAGGAGGCAGTATGTTGTTTCCTGAGGAAATATAGTGAATATACTGCAAGAATTTAAATTGTGCTGAGTTCAAGAATTAGGATGTCAGAATAGACTGAAACATTTTCGTTCTTCTGGGAACATTTTTTTTTGTTCTATCAGAATATTTTCTTAAATAAACCGGGAGTGATCTCCCCTAAACTTTCTCGAATATTTTCATATAAAATAACAGGGGATGGGAACTCGGGCTATAGACATGATTTTTAATCCATTTTAAATACTTAAAGTATTAAAAATAGAATAAAATCTCGTAGACAAATTAATTGCACACCAAGTGAACGCGAAATAAAAAAGCGCATAATAGTGCGCAATATTATTAGTACTTTTAAAATGTACATTAGTTTTTTGAGAAATCGGAAGTAGCGTAAATTACTACTTCCGGTCAACGGAAATTACTCAAAATTTAACAGAAGGTAGAGAATTAGATCTTTTACTTACATGTGAAATTTCATTTATCTATCTGAAATAGTACTCAAGTTATAGGCTTTTGAAAAATTCAAAGTAGAAAAAGTACCACTTCCGGTTATCGGAAATCGCTCAAAAGTTGATACGGATCTACGATTTTGATAAAATACTTATATATGAAATTTCATCAACCTAGCTGTAACGATACTCAAGTTATCGTGTTTACACACGGACACACAGACAGACACACACACACACACAGACATACGGACAAGATTGCAAAATTATGTTTTTCCGTATCAGTGAGGTGTAAAACGTCGAGATTTGTAAAAATCTCGATTTTTTTTTTGCACGATTACAATACTTTCTCTATACTACGTATATACGAGAAAGTAAAAATGGTTTTAAATATCTTTACACGCTACTTTAATATGTTATTAAAATATAAAATACACAATATTTCATTAAAATAGTAGACGCAAGTAGTATATTAGGTCACTTTTGGACCAATTTTTTGGCGGAGCAGGGGATGGGGAGGAACAATGACATATAGTAAAATACTCGGGAGCAGGATGGTGAGGCGGGACAATGACATATAGTAAAATACTCCCAGCCTGGCGCATCGGGAGGGTAAGGGTGGGTGAGCAGGATGCGCAGGCGGGACAACGAGATATAGTAAAATACTACGCCAACTGGGGTTGGCGGAGCAGGAGCGTGGGTCACCTTTTGGTGACCTTGTGACGTAATCATTGACCTTGTGACGTAATCATTGACCTTGTGACGTAATTAGTGACCTTGTGACGTCATCACTGACCTAGTTACGTAATTTTAATGCGTTTTTTAATTAGATTGAATTTATTTTTAAAATTTTAATTAATTTTTTATTGACTAGTTACGTAATTTGATTTTAATTTTTTAAATTTTTAAATTTTTAATTTTATTTTATAATTAGTTTAATTTTTATTAACTAGTTACGTAATTTGATTATTTGTTTGATTTAAATTGTTTAATTTGATTGTTTACTTGTTGTTTATTTGTTTGAAATTCATTTTATGCAGTTTGATTTTAACTTTATATTATCCAACACAACGCTAACGTATACTTTGTGTCATGACTTCCATTTAACCAGCCGTGTAACACCTGTTACGGATCGATTCACCAGCTATCCTTTGTTTTTGACACGCGTAGTGTTTTACTATATCTCGTTGTCCCGCCTGCGCATCCTGCTCACCCACCCTTACCCTCCCGATGCGCCAGGCTGGGAGTATTTTACTATATGTCATTGTCCCGCCTCACCATCCTGCTCCCGAGTATTTTACTATATGTCATTGTTCCTCCCCATCCCCTGCTCCGCCAAAAAATCGGTCCAAAAGTGACCTAATATACTACTGACGCAGCCTACGTTTCTAATGACGCAGCATTTTTAAACAAAAAGAAATGTTTGACATTTGAATATAAATCAGACTTTTTATACACATTTCTTATAAAACTTACACATATGAAAAGTAGCAGAAAGATTGGTAAACTAGTAGCCTACTTTGTGTTCACCTGATGTTAGACAGAAATTTTTATGTAAGATTTTAAATAACTCACTTCACCGCATTTTTATTTTAAATATTGCTGAAGTAACTCTTGAAAAGTACTACTTTATTTACTACAATCAAACAATTGATTAAATGGATGAGAGTTGTCTGCAGGATTTAAGGGTTGAGCGTGAGGTACATGAAGCACCTGTGGATAGGGGTGGGGGGGGGGGGACATAAGTTATAGAATATATTGAATAGATTTAGTGTTTGAGTTTTAATATTGTTCTATCTAGTCCGGGAGACTATTGAATGTGCACTTGGTGAGTGGCGGGAGCATGTACATCCCACCCACGACCTTGAGGCATGCCTGAAAGTAACACTGTTGTATACTGACAGTCAACAACAGAATCATACTGTCCACGGCTGCTATCTGCAACTTTTCCCACAGTAAGACTAATGCAGTCCGCGTCTTGTTTCAAGATCTTGGTGTGGTTTTAATGCCACACCAACGTGATGTGGGTTTACTGTCACATTCAAGTGATGAGGTTTTACTGTCAGATTCACGTTATGTGGTTTTGCTGTCACATTCACGTGATGTGTTTTTACTGTCACAATCAAGTGGTGTGGTTTTATTGTCACAATCACGTGATGTGTTTTTACTGTCATATTCACGTGATGTGGTTTTACTGTCACACTCACTTGTGATGTGGTTTTATTGTCACAGTCACGTGATGTTGTTTTACTTTCACACTCACTTGTGATTTGGTTTTAATGTCACATTCACGTGATGTGGTTTTACTGTCACATTCACTTGTAATGTGGTTTTACAGTCACATCAACGTGATGTGGTTTTACTGTCACATTCACGTGATGTGGTTTTACTGTCATATTCACGTGATGTGGTTTTACTGTCACATTCACGTGATGCGATTTTACTGTTACAGTCACGTGATGTTGTTTTACTGTCACATTCACGAGATGAGGTTTTACTGTCACATTCACGAGATGAGGTTTTACTGTCACACTTACTTGTAATGTGGTTTTACTGTAAAAGTCACGTGATGTGGTTTTACTATCACACTCATGTGATGTGGATTTACTGTCAAAGTCACGTGATGTGGTTTTACTGTCACATTCACGTGATGTGTTTTTTCTGTCACATTTACGTTATGTGATTTTACTGTCACACTCACGTTATGTGATTTTACTGTCACACTCACGTTATGTGCTTTTACTGTCACACTTACTTGTGATGTGGTTTTAATGTCACATTCACGTGATATGGTTTAACTGTCACAGTCACGTGATGTGGTTTTACTGTCACACTCACTTGTGATGTGGTTTTACTGTCACATTAAGGTGGTGTGGTTTTACTGTCACATTCACGTGATGTGGTTTTACTGTCAAAATCACGTGATGTGAATTTACTGTCACAGTCACGCGATGTGGTTTTCCTGTCACATTTACATGATGTGGTTTCACTGTCACACTCACGTTATGTGATTTTACTGTCACAGTCACGTGATGTGGTTTTACTGTCATATTCACGTGATATGGTTTTACTGTCAAAATCACGTGATGTGAATTTACTGTCACAGTCACGCGATGTGGTTTTCCTGTCACATTTACATGATGTGGTTTCACTGTCACACTCACGTTATGTGATTTTACTGTCACAGTCACGTGATGTGGTTTTACTGTCATATTCACGTGATATGGTTTAACTGTCACAGTCACGTGATGTGAATTTACTGTCACACTCACTTGTGATGTGGTTTTACTGTCACATTAAGGTGGTGTGGTTTTACTGTCAAAATCGCGTAGTGTGGTTTACTGTCACAATCACGTGATACGGTTTTACGGTCACAGTCACGTGATTTTGTTTTACTGTCACACTCACTTTTGATGTGGTTTTATTGTCAAAGTCACGTGATGTTGTTTTACTGTCACACTCACTCGTGATGTGGTTTTACTGTCACACTCACTCGTGATGTGGTTTTACTGTCACACTCACTTCTGATGTGGTTTTACTGTCACATTAAGGTGGTGTGGTTTACTGTCACACTCACTCGTGATGTGGTTTTACTGTCACATTCACGTGATATGGTTTTACTGTCACATTCACGTGATATGGTTTTACTGTCACATTCACGTGATGTGGTTTTACTGTAAAAGTCACGTGATGTGGTTTTACTATCGAACTCACGTGATGTGGTTTTACTGTCAAAGTCACGTGATGTGGTTTTGCTGTCACATTCACATGATGTGGTTT